CTTAACCAGGTCTGCCTCCGTTTTTGCCTTCCCACTCCACCCCCACAAACAGGTCCCTACTTCACATCCTTCCTCTCTCTCTTTGCTCTTTGCTCTCTTAGCCTCCTTTAGAGGTTTTTGTTGTTTTTTTGTTTTTTTTTTTGTTGTTGTTGTTGCTTTTTTTTTTTTTGCATTGAGTAATATCTTCTAATGCAATATTTTAAGTTCATTAATGACTTCTCCACTGTGTCTCTGTTATTATTTTTTTAGTGGTTGTTCCAGGGCTTAAAACTCACACAAAAGCCAGAATCTACGGCGAACAATTTTAACAGCAACAATACACAAAAACTTCATTTCCGTAAAGATCTATCTCCTCTTCTACTTTTTATAATATCAGGGTTGGCTATAGCATATCCACTCATCAGTCATCATTTAATCAAAGCAATTCATCAGCTCTGCCTCACCTGCCTCCTTTGTGGTGATTTAGCAAACATATTAAACATACATTCCCATGTATCAGAGGACAGCAGCTCTTAGATACACTCTAGCTTGTGTAGCTCCCTTTTAGAACAGTTTAGAGAGGAAGAGAAAACTATGCTGTATGGCACACCCTGTCATTTCATAATTCATATGCAAGTGTTCTCTGTGTGGCCTTGAATTGTTGCAGACGGAGGCCCTTGCCTTCATCCTGGAGAGCTGTCCTTAGCTTTAGATCTGTTAACAGCTTCTGCTTCATTTTCCTTATCTGGGAAAGTGTGCTTCGATTTCACAGTGGGATGCTATCTTTCTGGACAAACGCGGTGTTGATTGTTGTTGTTCCTGAGTGTTGTCTTCTGGCCTCCACTGCTTCTTTTTCCTGAGAAGTTAGTACTGGTGTTACTGAAGGCGCCTTGTAAGTGGTGCATCATTGTTTAATTCACTTTCGCCCTCTTAACATGGTCTCACTATGCAGCTGGAACTTGCTGTCAGAGAAAACTAAACTGACCTGGAAGTCCCAGTCCTCCCAGCTGCGCGGGTGCTGTATTAAAGCCGTACACACTGCAACTACTTCCCCTCGTCTTCCTTCTTCTGCTGTCCTCCTCCTCCTCCTCCTCCTCTTGCTCAAACTGACTCCAAACTTGGGATCCTCCTGCCTCAGCTTCCCAAGTAGTTGGAATTACAGATATGCTACACCATGTGTGGATTTTCTTTACTCTAAAAAACAATTGCGTACGTGCTTGTGTATGTACACGTGAGGAGAGGACAGAAAAGGACGTTGGATTCCTTAGAGCTTGAGTTACATGTATTTGCAAGGATGGGTGCCGGGATTCAAAGGCTAGTCTTCACAGCTGCGGAACAAGCGCTCTTTACTGCTACGCCATCGAGACATCTCCCCAGCCCGTGTGATGCGTTCACTTACTGTGTGATTGTTTAGTCCATACGCTTAGACTTCAATACATTCCCTGGCTTTTTCCCCCCTAGGAAGTCAAAGGAATTCTCAGTCATTTCTTTGAATGTTTTCCTTTCATTTCTTGTTTTTCTTACAAACCCATTGTGTACACTTAACTGCGTCCTAATGGTGTCCTACAGTTTTGGAAATCTGTGCTTGCTTTCCATTTCTTCTTCTGTCTCTGGAGAGCATAACATTTATCTGAAAGGGGCAAAATATTTCTTCTGTTTACTCAAATTTGTTGAGCCCTGACTGTTTCTGAGATAGGGTCTCTCTAGAGCTCAGGCTAGCCTCCACCTTGATATGTAGCTTAAGATGGCCTTTATCTCCAGATCCTTTTGCTTCTGCTTCCTAAGGTATTTGGGCTACAGGTCTGTGCCACCATGCCCAGCTCTATGTGAATTTTAAATATTCTTTAACTTTCTGAATTTTTTCCTTACAACCTGGAGCTAGAAATAAGGAGAGATGTGGGCAGCCCGCCCCTCCCAGTGAGAGAACTTACCTCTGACTGGAGCTACTGGGGAAGGCTGTTTTCTCGTTCTACCCACGTGGACTATATTATCAAGGGAAAAACTAAACAAACTCTCTCCTGCATCACCAACTCTTAGCTGTCTCAAACATCACTAATTTTGGAGTGGAGGTGTCACGCTGGTTTACAACACACTGTTAGTCTCCAGCTAGCTTTGCAGTGGGCATCACCTCTGCTGGCTGGGTCACGATTTGGCCTAAGTCACCTTGCGTGGACTGGAAAGTTGCTGTTGCTTTTGAAAACACTTGTCTTTCTCCCTGCACTGGCATTTCTGACAGATCACCAGTATCTGTCTTCATCCTGGGTCTGTCCCCTTCCCAGCTCGGCATGTAGGTGTGTCAATCACTGAGAACTGTTTTACCCAAGACTGTGATAAGAGTTTCCTTGACCTAAACTTGCCTCATCTCTTCCCACTTTAAGGCTAAAGACACCCCCCAGCTGCCATGACTGGAAACACCTGACCAGGAGTGAAGAGTAGCAGTGAAGATCTTGGAGGATCTCAACTTATTTCTCATTATTCCCCTTTATGAGATCCCTCTCTCCCTCACTTCTCATGTCCATCTGTAACCCTTCCAGGCCTGGAGCTGAGAAAACCTCCCACTTCACCTTTGATCACAGAATAGTCTTGGGCATTGGTTTTCATGTGGAACAGGCTGTGTGCAGACAGACCCTGCTGACTGTCGGAACACTGAGGAAGGGTAGAGACATCCTGGGCCATGGTTCATGTCAGATTCACTGTCATCACCAGAACTGGTAGCACTGCTTGCATGGTATGTATTTTCTATATGTTCTAAGGGCAGTTTCCAAAGACATCACATGGTTTTGCTCCAGAGGGAGTTACTCTTCCAGTTTCGTGTCACAGTTGATTGTTTGGCCAGTGTGTCTGAACATCTACCCAAACTGGTAAAAACTTAAGAGAAGTTTTTATGTTGGAAGAGGAGAGGGTATTAAAGAAGAAAACTGTCAATACAAGCTGGAGAAACATTTAATGAAATCCAGCACTGGATTTAAAACTGGGAAGATTATTCCCCTAACCCAATTTAACCATCTATTAGAAAGCGGCAGCAACTGTAAGTGTTAAAGCTTCTCTTCAATGGCAGGAAAAAGAGACAGCTAACCAGACGCCAGCTTATTATGGAGTGGACAGATCACAACAGGCAAAACACAAGCTGGTCTGAGTGTTACAGAGCAACTTACAGATCATCAAAGTGTAAGTTCAGCAAAGTTGCCAGATGTGTTAATATCAGTTAGCAAAGCCAATGTACAGAGAGGACCAAGAGACAAGCCTTAGTAAGTGAGAACAAGTGAGTTTTCAGGTGTCCTTTACTATGTGAACAAAACCAGGGATGGGACAAAGTCTTAAGTTGTACATGATTCTATTACAAAATTGGAGATACACTGCAATTATTTCCTTATAAACAGGTAGTAAAGATAAGTAATAGGGACTTATTCAGAGACACACAGAACCCAGCATCATAAATAATCTTCAACAAATCTGCACGTTCTTAGTAATCACAAAATCGAAATGTGGCAAGATAATCTAATATATACAGAACAAAGAAGATCCAAGAGTTGTTCTATAATTTCCGACAACCAATTAGAAACCTACATGATTAAAAATGGCTTATTGGTAAAGATGAATGGACCAAGTTAACAAAATATAAAGCCCAGAAACATTCCCATTAACTATATGGACATGATGGCGTTGTGTTGTCTTTGTAAATGTAAAAATCAGGAGGAAGGGGATGATCTATGTTTTTCAAATGTTAAGAAAATAACTATCTCTATATAATTGTGTTTAGTCGTTTTCCTTATTGCTGACAAAAATGCCCAGACAAAAGAACCTAAAGGCAAAATGTTTGCCTGACAAAGTCCATGACAGCCATGAGGAGGCTGACAGCAGTGGTATATTGCACGTGCAGTCAGAAGGAAATGGAGAGGGAACAGGTAGCGGGGCTGGACTATGAACCTCAAGACCCACCCCCAGAGACCACTTCCTCCAGCAGGACGTTATGTCCAGTTTTTCCACAATGTTCCAAAGAATGTCACCAGCTAAGAACCATGTGTTTAAAGACATGAGTTTACAGGTGGGACCCTTTAACGTTCAAACCACATCGGTAACTAACAAGAGCATTTATGAGATTGCATTAGGCTAAGGAGTGGCTTATTAATAAGAAGGCAAAATGAAAAAACTAAATATAGAAGCCTTAAATGTAAATGCTTCCTGCTGATAAGCAACACAAAATTAATACAGGAATGTTCCAATTGTCCAGATTTTTATGTGAAAGAAGATTTTTTAACCTAAAATTCTTTAAAAGAGCAAGAACAAAGCTAATATAAAATGTGAAGACCCTTATGAGAAATGTTAACCAAACATATAAAGGACTTAAATAAAATGAGGCCTATCATAATACTAATGGGAAAATTATACTAATTATGAAGTCCATTATCCTCCAATTAATGGACAAACCAATGCAATCCCAGCCAAAAGAGCACCATGACTTTAGTGGAACTTAATAAGCGAATTCTATCATTTTCTTGGAACAGAAAATGCACAAAAATAAGACACAGAAGAGATTTAAAAGAATACTTTCCTACAGGTGGCAAAACAGTGCAAACCCAAATGTCAGTGCGCAGAGTGTGAAGAAAAGAAACAGACAGGGGGTCTGACGCCAGCTGTGCGGCACATGCGGTGTTATGAGTTGAAAACTGGCATTTGGAACAAATGGGGGATGGACTACTCCATAATGGTTTTTCCTTTTTGCCTCTTCCATAACTGTCTTGCATTTCTGTTTAGAAAACTAGGTGAATATGACACAAACAGGCAAGGTACAGCAAAGATTTGCAAGTAATCAATAAACATGGATGGTGTCAATCAGGGAAATTCAAGTTAAAATAGGTTATTTTCATTCACAAGATTGACTTCAAAATAATCTACCAAGATGGAAACTACCCGCTGTGGGCAAGCTTGGGAAAACTGAGCCTGTGATAGGGTTAGAGTTCAGAGGTTCATTGAAAGTGGAGCTATATCATAGGAGTAAAAGACTTATACAATGTCAAAGCTAGATGTAACAGGAAAATTTTATTGTATTATGACATGCATCAAATCAATATGTATTAAAACAGTCTCTACTACAATGTTAAACAAAAATTCATTGATTCCACTCTTAGGTAACAGGTCAAAAAGACAGCCGTACCTGACCTGCACACACACCCTCTTGAAACACCAGGAGACCCGTGAGGCTCTCACAGACATCCTAGCCAGCAAAAGAAGGGGCTCTCAGGGCAGTGCACGGCTCTTTGTCTGAGCTCCAAACTGGAAAATTTTCATCTTACTGCCTAGAACTGTCATGTGGCCACAATTACCTGCTAGGGAGGCTGAGAAGCAATTATCAGCTGAGCAGTCATGAGTCCAGGTAAAACTCAAGACTGGAAGGAGCAGCCCACACCGGCGGCCATGTAAATGCCTGGGCAACCGCACAGGATCTGGAACAGCAGCACAACCGGGTTGGGGTGGAAAGGCAGAGAGTGCTTGAAAGCTTTTAACAGGGACAATCTAGTAAAACGCTGGTATTTTAAAAATCTTTTAATTGTAATTATATAACATGTTTAACACATTAAATCTATTTACACCGCACAGAGCATTTAATGTTCAAAAAGTCAGACTGCAGTTCAGCATATAGAGGTCCTATATATTCTTCTAACTTGGAGCACTGGTCCCTAGGTTTCTCCCGGTTGCTGGATGATCATGTTTCCAGACCTGAGACTCAACCCCCCCAGGCTGGGCAGGTCAGCGGCAGAGGTGGGACATGGACCCCTCACCTTACGGCACGGTGGGCAACCTTCGACACCTGAGAGATGTCTACAGCGGCTCTAGCCCTACACAACTCAGACCTCAGACACTGCAGGCATAAAGCACCGATGCACACGTCAGCTCAGCACAGCAGCCCGAGAGGACAGCAGCATTTCCTTACAGGCTAGAAGAATAAGCAAAGAACCTCCCAGAAGGAGACAGGTGTTGCGACTTCCTTCTGAGCCAAGTACTAAACTTTAGAATGTATTGCCCTAGTTAAACAAACCTCTTTTATAGTCTCTAGATAATGATGACACGGGGCAGTAAACACTCTTCCTTCTCGGCGCACATGTATGAACTTGGTGGTACAGCGCAGGCTTAGCATGAGCAAGGCACCAGAGTCTATCCTCCAGCACCATTTAAAATAAACAACACCCAAACCCACTGATTTGAAAGTACTATAGATAGTTATTGACAGATAATTAATGATTTGACGGCTAGTAAGTCTTTCTGCATGAGGCCAGAAACATTTACAGGCTCTGCATTAAGACACTGAGGTTATCAGGTACTGATGAAGTGACTTTATGGGATGGGGTGGGCGGGATAAACAAAAGGCTTGTTCCCAGCACCAGTGAGAAGAACCGTATCTATTCTTAATAGAATATGCTCCCTGACAGCATCTTTTGAGTTAAGAAATATATTTGCAAGCTGGGCGTTATAGTGCACACCTTTACACTTGGGGAGAGGCAGAAAAAGGAGGATCTCTGTGAGTTCGAGCCCAGCCTGGTCTATAAAGTGACACACAGAAACCCTGTCTCAAAAAAAAAAAAAAAACCCAAAAAAGAAAAAAAAAAAAAAAAAAAGAAATATATTTGCTTCATTAAATAAATGTTAGGTCCCTAGTTTTATAGTATAATCCACAGTGCCACCAAAAGAAAACAAACAAGACGAAACAAAACTAAAACCTCCAAGTATTTTCTTCTTCAAGTTTTAGTCTTGAGGTAGACGACACAGTAGACACTAAATGGAGCCATGACCTTAGGTACCTTAGGTGCGCGCGCGCGCACACACACACACACACACACACACACACACACACACACACACACGATCACTAATCACAGGACTGGTGAGCCAAGATTTCCATTTGAAAAAGTCTAGGAAGTGCTGCTATTTAGCAGTATTCTGGCTTCAGTTTCCAAATCCCTTCACCACCAGGAGTTCTGTGGAAATTGCACAGATTTCTCAATAGTTCTCGGAAGACACAGGACTGTGCCACGGACAGCTTGGATTCAAACTCCTGTAGGATCTCCTGAGTGCTGGCCTGGCCATCCACCTGGGCCTGGAAAGCAATGAAGTTCCTCATGTCTACCAGAAGGTCGTCGTGTTCTGTGCTGGAGGAGGGCAGGGCAGCAGCCTCAGCAAGGTGCCCGCTGTCACTCTCCAAGCGCTCTGGCAGAATCAGGTGGTTTCTTGCTCGCATTCTGGCCAAGAGTGAGGAGGAACTGGGGGCTCCAGACAAAGACGCTCCATCTTCTTTGCCACTGAAGTGCTCAGGGGCCTGAGCTTTCCCCTCCTTTTTCTCATTCTAGAGAAAGAAGAGCACGCATTAACAGACTGAACTTCTAGATCATTCCGCTATTTCCTCCGAGGCTGTGAGGACCCACAGAATAATCCAAATACCATGAGGTGAGATGTGGGAGAAAGACTGACACTCTGTCTAATGTCAAGGTAAAGGAGATGTGGACATTCGTAAAGGGCATTTCCGAAAGAAGCAAGCAGGAAGGAAGAGAACTGAAGCCATCTCCTGGATGCCAGAGTGTGAGAGCACGGGAGCTGAGAGAGAACCTGCCCTGCAGGCATGGGCTTGTCCTGCTCTTTCTCCTGCGTGCACACTGAGCTGACCCACACCGTGCGACCTTCTCCCCATTCCAGCCTTCCTCCTTCCCCACCCTGCGTCTCATGTGCGTTAGAACAGCTCTAACCTGGGAAGTGCCTCAAACTCTGCTGCTAAGAGCACAGAATCAGGAGCGTGGAGAGGGTCTCTGTCCTGTAAGGAGTTCACATGGATCTAAAAGTGGAGTCTAAACCTGGGAGTTGTCCAGTTCGAGCATTAGCACATCCTTAACAGAAAGACCGTGGTGTCGGCCCCGCGTCACCACTGCTACAGTGTGACAAAGCATAGGTGCCTCGCTCAACATTCTGGAAGGCTCTCTGGCCATCTGGGTTAGACAGTGGTCTCTCTACAGCTGGCACATCTCCTCCAGGTAGGTGGCTGTGCATATTAACTTTCTAAGCACTGAACAGAAAATCTGCTAGAGATTTTGGCAACTCGGAGCCTACAAGCATCAGGCGTCACTGTGTCAGTTACAACCATTTTCATCTTCACGTCTAAATGACATCCTCCTGACCATCCAAGCAAACAAACGTGAGAGGCAGCCAGGCTACCGTGTTACCTGACTCTTTTCTGTTAACGACGAAGGGCGCTGCACAGTGAGGTTGGAGTTCCTTTTCTGACCAAACCTGTTCCTAGGTAAGGAAGAGAATCAGGTAGACAGGATGTCAGATGCGGCGAAACAGAGGCCAGAGTATTCTCAACAACTACACTTGTCCTGGGGAGACCGCTCCTGCTCCACAGTCCTGCTCTACCTGCTTTGGCTGTTACACCCTGCTCTTCCTCTCAGAGTGAGCTCCACTCAGAGTCCTCACTCAACACTGGACGTGAGAAAGCGCCCCGGATAATAAGTGCATACTAATATACTAATGGCTATAAATTGGCTGCCTAACATTTAGTCATTATTTGTATTTTTCAGTGTTTTAAACATCATCTCACAAGCAAACTGAGCATTTCTTCCCGAGAAGTAATCTCTAAAAAGCAGGAAATGAAAGGGAAGAGAGACAACAGTACTTTCCCAAGTCATCATGCCTGACCCATACGATGGCTCCCTAAAGGAACATCTTGTCCCAGAGAACAAGCCTCTGCCTTGGCTGTGTAACTAGTCTCAACCATTGGGGTCGCTTTAGAGTGGTCTCTTACTTTATTCCTGCGGGTGCACCAGAAACACCCCTGTGTCCGGTCCAGGTGGGAATGCCAGATGCTGCCCCCCGGCATTGCTGACGAGAGAGCCTCAGCGCTTTCAAGGCATCCTGAGCCACTCGGCTGGCTTCTGCCTCCACCAGCACATGATCCGGACTGGTCCCATCTATGATGGCATCATGCTTCACGACACTGTGCACTCCCACTAGCCAGAGTAAGGAAAGAACGACAGTGACAATGTAGCCTACACACTGTAATACTAGTGTCATAGAAGAAAAAAAATCCACAACACTCATAGCTGCTGTTTTCTTGGTGGTAGTTTTGACTCAAGGACTTCACAAATGCTTTCTGTTCATACTTGCCACTATGCCACAAGGGACGGTTATGAATTATCCTCGTTTAAAAATACCTGAAGCAAAATGCTTTAATCATATTTTAACATTAATCTCTTCCTATCCATACTGTGAGAAAATTAAAATGTTAATAAACTCTTCAGAGGGAAAACATAAAGCAGAAATATAAAATTTAAACAAATCAACACGCACAAGACTGCTACTTATCAGAACCACCAGAATATACTTACTAGAATAATCAGTGGAAAGTTCATTTCCCTGAGCATCTGCATCAGTGAAAATGAAATAGCCACACAAGCTGGTTCATGCCTACAGTCCCAGCACCTGAGCAGCGACAGCAGAAGGATCAGGGCCAGCATGGGATACACAGTTATACTCTACCAACAAACAGTAAGATTAAAGTTAATAAAGTAAGGATAAAAATGAAATAAATTTATAGCTAGACATAAATACAAGGGAATGACTATGTCCCAAAAATCTCAGTAAAATATAATTAAAACAAAAAGTACTGGAAGAAAATTATAGAACAAAATAATGAAGTAGAGAATAAATCAACTATGAATCACTGTTAATAAATACGAATCCTGGATTACTAGAAAAAAGTAGCAAAACTGACAACTCAAAGTGAAGAAATCTTAAAATTCATTGTAGGACTATTTTGTATACTTGTGTGCCAACATGAAAACCATACAAAATAAGTATTTTTCTAGGAAAACAGACAAGTACTGTATATAGAAAAAACAAAGTTACTGACAATAAAGAAAATGATAAACCAGTAAGTGATCATTATGAACATTAGCGAGAAAATACTAGGAACAACATTGAAAACAGAAATCAACAGCAAAAAAGGATCACAGATGACTCAGGGAAGAGCCCTGGGAACTCAAGGCTGGACAATGTTAAGAAATCAATTATCTAGTAAGCTTCATGATGCTCTTTTACCACCATAGGTGTTTTCTACAGTGTCTCTTCATCAGCCATACCTGTAAAGCCTTTCCCCAAACTGGGAATTTCCTTCATAAAACATTTGCCTTACCCCAGATTCAAAATTTTTCTTCTTTTTTTTACTTCATTTTCCTCCCTCTCTCCCTTCCTTCCTAACTTCCCTTTATTTCTTTTTTGGGCTAGAACTGGGACCCAGGGCTTCATGTATACTAGGCAAATATTCTGCCACTGATCAATACAATTCCACTCCCTCTCTCTTTTGAAGTTTTTACTCTAGAGACTCAGTGATGAAAACAAAGCAGTAAAACCATCCAGGAAAGAATAAAATAAAACTCCTACACCCTTCCAAATAAGCAGCAGTTAATGAATGCAATGGTGGGGAAACTCCATATACAGTAACAACGAACATAAAACAATTCAAATAAGAACAACAACAAAAATAAGGATGGATGCATTAATTCAGTCTCACTAAGAAAACATATGCAAGTTAAACTAAACTGAGAAGACAGAGAGAGTCAGGACAGAAAGAACAGCAAGTACGACAAATAACCCCTTCCCCCTGCTTGAGACCTGATGTGTAAGACCTGTTGGGTGGGGTCTCCCTCCTCTTCCTAGAGATCCCTGAGACTCTCAAACAGAATTGTTACCTTTGTTTAAAGCAAAGACATCCTAACCTTCCTGTCTAGCAACTGTAATCCTGATAGCTGCCCTCAGGAGCCACGTGGGTGGTTTCATTCAGGTTTCTTGATAGCTCTCTGAAGATAGTAAATTCAAACCCTGTCCAAATCCTACACAGAACTATTATTTAAGATGAGACAGATGACTTCAACTACTTGAAGCCCACATCCGTGCGTCCCAGGGCTTTGCTTTCTTCTGAGTAAATCCCTTTCTCATAACCCACCTGCTTAAACCTAGATTAATATATCTTTATTAAATCCCAACTCTTTCCTTTATACTGACTGGTACTCAAACTGTTGTGCACTGAAGCCACCAATCTCAGGGTACCCTGTGTCGAGAACCCTAAAGATTAAGGGAATCTCTCAGGCTGCTGTGGCTGCAAGACTGGAGCTGTACTTGATGCCTCCGCTCCTCAGACACAGATTTTGTCCGTCTGCCTGGCTACCTATCTCTTTCTGACACAGTTCTATGCAGCTCTGGATGGCCCGGAACTCACAGAGTCTAGTAGTCTTTGCCTACCAAGGGCTGCTATTAATAACAGATGCCATAGCACCTGGCTTCTCATATTTATGCTAGCAAAAAAGAAAAGAAGGAAAAAAAAAAGATGAAATGCACAGTCCTAGCATGACTAAGACAGACCACTGAGGACAAACGCTAATATAAATATCTTTTTTGGGGTATGGTGAGGTAGCATTAGTTCAAAAACTAAAAACGTCCTGTGTCTATCTTCTGATATAGTGACCTAATTTCTAAGAATTTTTAAGAAGCTATATGTCTAAAAGCAGGACAATACATTGACACAAGATTATTCATCACAACAACTTGACTGAAAAAAGCTTAGCAGTCTAAGTGCTCAACATGAAGAAACTATGGTGCGTCCATGTAACAGCTACAGAGAGGGAGAAGGATCTCTATGAACTAATATGGAGGGCGGGGCTATCAGGGTACACAATGGCTTTTAAAAGGAGTGGAACACACAGGGTTAGAAAAGATGGGAGTTATGTATGGGCCTACTCTGACAAAAAGAAACACAGGAAGGAGAAGCCAGAAGTTCGTGGATAAACAAAGGAGGGATGGGATAGCTGGTAAGTCTTGACTTTTGTAAATTCATTATGTTACAGATTCAAAAAGTAAAATACAACAACATGAAGAAGCACAAGGAAAACACTGAAACAGGCAAAAATAAATTAACTCTACTATGAAAGCGAGAAAAAAAATTTTTGATTAAAAACTTCAGATTGGAGACAAAAAGCTATATAAATAAATATTAAACTTACCTTAGTATGGCGTTTTGTTGTGGTTGTACAGGTTAGACATTCTAATACCATGCATAGTATGAATACAAATAAGTCATCATGCTGAGAATGATGGTCGAGAATTCTCGTACTCTGGAAGAAGGGAGTCTTGGGAAGGGCGTGCATGGGAAGGGCTCTACGATGTTGATGCGAGTAAGACTGAGCAGCATTAGCTTTCTCTATTTTGCTTCATGGGGCTTATTAAAGTTCATGATGTGCCATGAGGCACAACTACTTAAAATGTACAACATGACAAGTTCTGACATGGACACACCATGGAGCTACTACCAGTCAAGGCAATGATATCATGACTTGCAAAGCCCTCTTTGTGGTCCATGGGCACGTGGGACAACCCCCTCCTTTACACCCTACCATGTAAGAAGATGATGTGATTCTGTCCCTCACTCTACTGTGGTGACTTAATATCATCTTTCTTTTCAAGCTTCACTACCTTTGTTTCTTCTAAACCCTTCCCCACTTACGGCACTTCCCATTCCACCGTTTCTCGTTGCCACCTGCTTTGGCCAGTTCATCATTATGCTTTGGTATGTTTTCTTTCATTTCCTGGATTGAGTATTATTAAGTTTCTTGACTGTGTGGATATATAGCTTTCATCTAAGTTGGAATATTCTTTACCAGTTATTTCTTCAGACTGCTATAGTCTCCTCCTCTCTCTTTTTAGTCAGGGTCTAAATTAGCATTATAATAGGCTGTTGATATCCCAGTCTTTTCGCTTCTGTGAATTTACTGTGTTCTTCCTTGCATAGCTTTTCCTGCTCTGTATTACATTTTCATATAAGTTCACTTTGAATGTGTGTGTGCCTCTTTTTGAATATAGTTATAATTATTTAATGTATGTGCTAATTCCACCACCTATGTGTCAGTTCCAGTTTATTCCCTCGTTGTGAATCACATTTTCCAGCTTATTTCAATGCCCAATAATATTTATATTTGATGCAAAACATCATAAATTTTATCTTGTCTTGTGTTCACTCTCCATACAGTCCTGTAGGAGTTGAGGTGACGCTAACTGAGGCAATCCTATACTTTCTTCTGTAATACACCAGGCGGCCTGGCAGGCACAGGCATCGGCCCCTGCTATGGGTGTGCATAGGAATGTCTCCTTAAATCCTTTTGAGTGGTCCTTTCTGCAACTTCAAAAGGTTTCCTTGTTGTGCTGCTCAGCATCCAGCTAGGCTCCACAGGAGCCCCTCTGCAGCTGAGCAGTAATCCTTCTCTGTAGGGCTCTCACCTAGCGCACTCTCTTGCATAAACTCCAGCACCTAGGTCTCCCTGGATGCTGTCTGTCCAGGGCTCCATCTGGACTCACGCTTTTCAAGGCAGCAAGCAGCAAGCTGAGTTCATCTGTCTCCCATCTTAGAGCTGACTACCGTTTGGTGCCCTCTTGGCACCAATGCTTCATACACTGTCATATTTCATCTGTTGCACCTTAGGAGAGTAAATGTTGTTCCATCCTTACCGGAATTATGGTCCTTATGCAGAGATGTAGAGAGATAAAAGAATGTGTGCAGATTTATTTGTGCACATACATGCATGCATGTATATTTGTAGGCATGTTTACATATGTATATGAATGATAAAGTATATGCTGAAAAATGCTAATAGTGATAAAGGCTACCGCAAAGTTCACATGCTCTTCATGCTAATTTCTTTGAAAGACTTTTCTGAAGTAACACATAAACCTGACTCATAAACCTTCTCAGAGTACCCTGACTCAGGAATCTTTGGTATCTACGGTCATTACACTGTAAACATAATGCAGCAAATGGCAAAGATGACACTCGGGAGCTACCAAAGCCGGGCAGGGCATGCTGACTTCCAAGTTCCCCAGCACTACTGCTTTCTCTTTCATCTTGGCCATCAGCTTCTCTTTCTGCCTGCCTCTACCCGGTCCTGCCTCTCTCCCATGATCTGTTTCTCTAACTACTATAGTTAGAAAAGCATATAAATACAGCATGTAAGGAAACTGCCTATTAATATTCAAGCAGTACATGACTATTTGTGGTATCTGACCTACTCTAAATGGTCATATGTTAAGTATTATTGTTTCCTAAAGTTTCAAATTATTTCTGGTCTTCAGAAAGGGAAATCTTCAAAACGTCAGCTCCATAGGGAAAGATCACCATGGTAGGAATGGCTCTCACATTCGCCATTCCTAGCACCTAGGTGAGAGATTTATCAAAATCAATACCTGATTTTTTGAAAAGCTTTTCCAAAACATAATCATCACTGCTCCGTTCCTTGGCCTCGCTCTCCTGCTCAGTGTTTTGCTGGCGGTACCTCCTCTTCTTCACCAGGTGCGGGACTCGAGTTCCCTCAAACTTGGCGTCTCTGCAGTGCTTGGAGGTCTTGGCCTTTTGCTGGGGCTGCAGAGGTGTCTGTGAAGTCTCTCCCTCTGCTACATCATGTTTCCTTTTTGATTTGTGCTTAAAGAAACGCCCTTCTGTCTGCTGACTCACGCAGACGGGCTCTGTCTGAGCCTGGCAGCACCCTCCTTTACAGGGAGAGCCCTGCTCCCCACCAGTGGTCGCCTCACCAGATGGCCCGGAAGTGTGCTCGACGGCTGGAGAGTCTGAACACTTCCCATCTGCACTCATCAGGGAGCGCTCCTCCAGCCTGGACCCTGCATCCGTCTCTTCTCCAAGCACAGTCCTACTGGTTCTGTTCCCACTCGTATGATGGTCGCCTTTCAAAGGGCCACTTTCTCCAGAAGTTTCACTTCCTGCAGCCCCCACTGCCTTACATTTTTCTTCAGTCAGGGTGGCGCCATTTGCAGATGTGTCAGAAACAGGGAATTTCTTGGGATCTGTTCCTAGGGATGGTGGAGTCTTTTTTTGTAAATGGCATTTGGGTGTCTGAATATTGGAGCCAGTTCCTGCAACAGGGAGAACACAGCCAATGCTACACTGCAGAAGTCTTACGCAGCTGTTTAAGCTGAATGACTTAATGTAATACCTGCAAAAACAGCGCTTGTCTCAGTGCTCTGGGAGGGCTCGGGGCTACTCAGAGTGAACAGCTCATAAAGGTCATTGGATTTGAAAAAGCGCCTCTGTTTTGGGTCTTTTAGCACTCTGTTGGTCAAAAATTGCTTGAAGATTTGTCTAAAAAGTAAAATTATACTGGCATGAAACAATGTTTAGCTGTACCTCAAAATTCCAGTTATAAAACATGAGAGATGGGGCTGGAGAGATGGCTCAGTGATTAAGAGCAGTGGCTGCTCTTCCAGAAGACCTAGGTTTAATTCCCGGCACCCACAGGGCAGCTCACAACCACCTGTAACTAGTCCCAGGAAATGTTAACACCCTCTTCTGGCCTCCATAGGCACTGCAACTGCCTGCACATGGCTCGCAGGCATATGCACACAGAATACCCACACATACAAATAACGATTAATTTTTTTTCAATGTGAAAGCTATGCTAACAGCAGCTCATAAGCAAAAAGTTTCCAGACTTTCAGGCCTGGAAAATCACAACTCAAGACATACCTAATGTTATTATCAGGTGGTTTCACAAGTTTTATGAATTTTAAAATTAGAAATGATACCTTATTTATGCCCAATGAGTTTTGTTTGACCTCTAAAACCTATCACATGTCAAACCTCACCCTTTCACATTTATGTGCCCCAACCTCTACAGGCCATAAGTAGCCAGTCAGCCTCCCTGACTCATGGGCCAAAGCCTGCTCTGCCCTGCTCAGTGACCTCTTGTGGTAGCTTTGCATAGCCCCCACTTGCTGGTTCACTCTCTGTGTTTAAGGTCATATGATGTTTCTCACATGGGTGTTACCACAAAGCAACCCCTTCCTCTCCTATCCACTCGTGCTTCAGGTTAAAGCTTTCTTCTCACAAGACTCACCTCGTCTCCAGCCCTAAACACTCCCTAAGAACACAAAATGTTTCTGGAACAGTCTGCAGGCATCGGGATATGGGACAAGAGTGGGTCTAAGGGGCAGAGGAAAAGCTGGCAATGTCTGGACTCTCCCTGTAGTTACCACTGCCTCAAGCTGCCTACTTACGAGAGAGTCAGAGGAGGGGGCTCATGCTGTTACCCTCTCCAAAGGCCACTGAGTGAACTAGCTTCACGTCTGTCATTTCTCAGTTTTTCTGCAGCAGCTTATAGTTAGAATGTTTCCCTCACAAAGTTTTATACAATAAGGAGTCCCTGGTTTAGATTAAGGTACAATAATTATCAGGTTTTGATATTTTAAAAAACAGTAAAGTTGTCTGTGGTGGCATATGCCTTTAATCCCAGCACTGGGAGGCAAAGGCAGGTGGATCTCTGAGTCTGAGGCCAGCCAGGTGTACAAGCTGTAGGCCAGTCAAGGGCTACACAATGAGATCATATTCAAAAGCAAACAAACAAACAAATAAAAACAAAAAAATAATGGATCAAAATATGTTTTAACAGCAAAGGAAAAGATGGAAACAAAACAGTCAGTGATATCCCTTAAGTTATAGCAATTATCCTTCTAAGATGAAAAGATCTTTTTTTTTTTTTTTTTTTTTTTAAGATTTATTTATTTACTGTGGATACAGATCTCATTCTAGGTGGTTGTGAGACACCATGTGGTTGCTGTGAATTGAACTCATGACCTCTGGAAGAACAGCCGCCAGTGCTCTTAACCTCTGAGCCATCTCTCCAGCCCCGAAAGGATCTTTAAACCAACACTTGGAAACAATAAAAACCCTTCTTCCTGAAAATTCTAGGTTAGGCAATCAAGGCTTGGCAGTCGTCTGTACTGACCGGTGGTAGATCTTTTCCTCAATGGTGCCAGCTGTCAGAAGCCTGTAGACAGTGACCTGCTTCTTCTGACCTATCCTCCATGCTCGTTCCCGGGCCTGTGGCAGAGAGAGATTTTAACCAGGGCCAAGTCAGAGAAAGCAGTAACTAGTCACTGCCTTCTATCCCAGTCAGAATTCCATCAAAGAAGAAACGTACACTCGAGGCCTATGCAGGCAGAGGAGCAGTCATGTGACTGAAAACGTTTCTGACTCTTGGTGAGCACTTTTCACACATGGCTTGCAATGGACACTGTGAATAACCAGCTGAGGACTCTCCAGTCTGTATGACTGACCGTGTTCTTTCGTGTGAGAGAATGGGATGTGACCAAATGCACACAGTACTTGAAGGCAGGTGTAACATTAAGGCTACTGATGCCAACTGCCATTAAGAAGCCACCTGTCTGCAGACACCTTCCCTTGGTGGAAAGGACAGACCTGTGTGTCGGTGCTTGGGTTCCAGTCAGGGTCGTAGATGATGACTCTGTTGGCCCCAGTCAGGTTCACGCCTATGCCGCCCACCCGTGTGGTCAGGAGAAAGACAAAGATGGATGTGTCCTACAAGAAGCAGCACAACAGAGAGGGCACAGCTGAAAGCTGCTGCAGCTCTGCATTCCTCAACACAAGTTCTTCCGTGGGCTCTGCTGGTTACCAACACATTCTCACGTCAGAGCGCCTGCTTTATTATTAATGACACTGATAACTTTTAATGATCGTGCAAAGTGCAGACACATGCACAGACACTCTCACTGGCCATGCTTCACCAGCTTCTTAGCTTCTCCTCAAACGTCAGCATTTCATTTCTAAATCTTACATGCCTGCTTCCCAAGCCCTAACGTGCACAGTCAAAGGCAAAATGCCACCATGGATACTGGCGCACACCTTTAATTCTAATGCCTGGGAGGCAGAGGCAGGTAGATCTCTGTGAGTTTGAGGCACACCTTGTCCACATAGCAAGTTCCACACCAGCCAGGTTACACAGTAAGATCCTGTCTCAAAGAAAAACAAGCAAAACAAAACACCCCAAAGCGTAATGCCTCCCCTCCACCTGCCAGCAGACACAAAGACCTTTCACAGGGCTATGAGAGCAGACATGTGCACTTTTTTTCTTTATTAACTGCAGCCCTCTGGCCTTCTCTGTCACCTCCCTTGTTACCTCATTGTATCTTGTAATGAGCGGCTGTCTGGACGCGATGGTAGTGGTCCCATCCATTTTGAGGTAGGAATACTTGCGGGCTCTCAGGAACACTTCCAGGATGTGCAGCATCTGTTGGGGGGTGAGGAAACAGTCTGCAATGCAAGTAGGTTCCCAGCAAGTGTGTTTCCACACATGTCATACCACAAAACAATTTCTGCTAATTCCTTATCCCAGCCTCACTAGGATGCCAGGATCCTGCTGTGAGGTTTGTTTAAGGAGCCAAAGGCCCACACAGTCCTGTGCACGGCTGCCCCCTCACTCAGCAACACGGCAGACCTCTCTTGAGGTGGTAGCCTACCTTTTGTACTGTGGTCACAAGTGCTGAGAGCTGCCTTGTTTGCTGGACGCAGCTAGAGCACTCACCTGCCTTGACTGGGAAAAGAGCAGCACCCGCTGACCCTGCTTATGCCATATTTTCAGCAAAGACTCAACAACAATCATCTTCCCTGAGCGTTTCCAGTAACCAAACTGATCTTCTTCTAGAGCATCTTCTGGAAGACCACTGAGATTCTTGGGACCGCCAGAAAAGAGATCTGGGTGGTTGCAGATCTTCCTCAGAGCTACAAGTCCAGAGAAAATCTGTGATTAAAACAACAACACATATGAGTTCAGCTTACCCTATGTAAACAAAGGAAGGGAGGGACATGTCACAGGGATCACAATCATTTTTACCAGCTTGTTGATTTCTTGTCTATGTCAACATTACGAGCAACAGTCTGGATCTTGAATGTCCCGCCACAGGTCAGACATGTATTGAAGGCTTGGTTCCCAGTGTGGCAGTGTCTAGATAAGGAGCTTTTGGGAAATGATTGGCCCATGAAGGCTCTGACTTCACTAACAGGTTGACCCATTGGTAGGTTCGTAATCTAATCGCCTAGTAAGAGGTGGGACCCAGCTGAAGGAAGGGCCTACTGAGGTACACCTTAAAGACATTTCTTGCCCTTAGCAACCTTTCTCAGAGCCCTACTTTACAGCTACCATGAGGTGAGCAGCTTTACCCTCACACATTACCCTGAAATGACATTCAGCCCCACCAATGGCCAGAAAAAACAGACAAGTGACCACAGGCTGAAAACCATGAGCCCCCAAACTTTTGTTCCTTTAAGTTGATTTTCTCAAGTATTTTGTCATAATGGTAAAAAACTGACTAATACAAGCTGGAAAAAAATAAACTTTCATTCATTTCATTCCCCTGAACATGTCCACAGAGGTCACAGTCAACAGCTGATAATTTAATTTCCCTCACTAGAGAAAAGGATATTTAGTTCACAGCACTATAAATCTGGCAAACAGAAAAAACAAAAACAAAAAGACAAAACAACAACAAAAACATCAAAAAACCCAAAACCTAACTTACCTTAAAAACACAGGCCAGAAAAGGCCTGCCAATCCCTGCCTGACTAAATGTGTCCCAATCCTATATATATAAGTACCCTTAAACCCCTGTGGTTTAGTGTGTGAAGCAGAGGCTGAAGTCCCAATTACTGCTACTATACCAGAAGGCATAAATGTATGGAGAACACACGAATGGAAGAGATGTGCAGGCGAACCATGCGATAGAAAAGCGTTAGAGGCTGGGTTTGTTCCCCTAAAAGTCCCCGGCCCCAACCCTGCCTCAGGGCACTCACACAAGATTAAGAACGATTCAGGCAGAGGCAGGCAGACCTCTGAGTTCAAGGCGGCCTAGTCTACAGATCAAGTTCCAGGATGGCCAGGACTACACAGAAAAGCCTTGCCTCAAAAAACAATAACAAAAACAAAACAAAAACATTCAGGTTTTCTAAAGCATTCAGACTGGTTTGAAAGTCTAAGTAAAAAAAAAAAAAAGAATCATAAATGAAGCCAATCTTCAGAGAGTATGGTATATATAAGTGAACGACAGCTGTACTAACAAGAGAGGACCCGAGCAGGCCAGGAGCCTGGCCAACACTCTCCAGTGTCATCTGCAGGTCACCTCCCTCCTCTCTTTCCCTACGCAATGCAGCACTAGCCACATGCAACTGCGGAGCACAAGTGCGGGGAGTCTGAACTGAGATGAGAAAGTAAGTTTCCTACCCAAGTCTAAAGATGTATCATGAAAGAAAGAAAATATACTTTTTTTTTTTTTTTTTCCTGAGACAGGTCCTATTATGCAGTCCAGCCGGCCTGGACCTCTCTATGTAGACTCGGATAGCCTCAAACTCACAGAGAATGCCTATCTCTCTGCCTCTCAATCATTTTCAAAACTTCATTTACATATTAAAATATTTTGAGGCTGCAAATGAAACAAAAGACATAATCTTCATTTTACTTGTTTTTCTTTTAAACATGGTACTAGAAAACGTAAGCCTTGCCTTTCCTATCTACTAGATAAAGCAACCTAGACCACCCAACCTGGAGGCTGATCGATGATGAGCCAGTCATTTGGAAGAATGTTTTGGAACCACTCATTTGGAAGAATAAGAAAGAAACTGCTTGGGCTTGAGAGACAGCCCAGCAGTTAAGAACTCTTGTTGCTCTTACGGAGGACTCAGTTCAGTTCCCAGTACAAATGGTGGTCCATACCCATTCGTAACTCCAGTCCCAAGAGATCTGATGCCCTCTTCTGATCTCCACAGGTACCAGGCATTCATGTAGTATTTGGTCAGCCTACTGTATGTAGGTAAAATACTCGTATGCATAAAATAAATAAATCTTTAGAACATGAGAGCTGGAGAGCTGGCTTGGCAGGTAAGTACACTGTTTTTCCAAAGTTCACAGCTTCAATCTGTATCACCCAATGGCCGCTCACACCTTATATCTCAAGTTCCAGGTGATCTGACACCCTCTCTGTCTCCACAGTTACCAAGCACAAATAAGTACACCGATATATAGGCAGACAGAAAGCCCACACACTTAAAATTTTGAAACAAAATGAACAAAAGAAAAGAAAGTGCTGAGAAGTCATTAATAGGACAAAATGACTAAATCTGAAAGTATAGGCACCTTAGCGCAAGATAACAGGTGGTCACTGCAAAGCCCGGCAACCAGCACAGAATGTGAGTTCATCTCTGTCCTCCTCAGAGCCTGGGAGCAGGCCAGAGCAGACTCCTGAACACACTCAGATGTACCTATAACGGGGCAGAGTGAGGGCCATGGTTGCATGGCTCAGCATGCATTAAAGGGCATGCAAGTATGCACCTGAGATGGAGAAGGCACAATACCCAAATCCAGTAGACTGCTAAGGCTTGTTTTGAAAGCAATGCACAGAAACAGCGCTCCCTGGATAAAGAGCAAGAAGAGCTTGTCTAATGGCCCTAGAAAAGTTACATGTCAAGTCAGTGAAATCATGCATAGGGTATACGAGAATCTGCAGCTTTAGCCTATCATAAACCTACCATACTCACTCAGTGAACAGCCATACTCATGCTATGTGCTAACTAGAGAATTATGTGAAAACATGTTCTCTTTAGTACGGCCACATAACCCAGTGGTCTGGGCTTTCTTCTACATTCTGCATGGGATTCCAGGTCCTGTAAGCCACATACTGCTGGCCCCATTCCTCAGTGTTCTTTTTCCACTAGCCACAGTGCTGGACTCAGTCCAGCCTATAGTCCAGTGGAGATGAGTAGCTTGTCCTCTTCCGTAATGAGCTCTCTCACCTCTGGATGGGCTGCATATTGAGTTAAAGTTCTCAGAAAATGTCTTACACAAAGGTCACAGAAAACATCTGACCCACTGGCAGCAGCATGTTCCCACTTCTGGCACTCACGCCTCAACTGGTCCATGATGCTCCATACCCACTGTGTGGCCCCAGCATCACAGTCTCATGCCAAGTGCTTGGGGACACTGCCCAGCAGGAAGGTATTCTAGACAGCCAAACCCTCATATTTGTGATTTACATATGGGATTTTCTGAGTAGACACTGTCTAGTAATTTCCAAATTCTGGACAATATTAGGAAGTGCTTTCCCAGAACAGAAGAATACATTCCTTTCATACACCGGGGACAGTAAAAGTTAGAACCTGAGAAATCTGATCTAGAATTTTGTCTGGTTTCTAAGATGGCAGTGGTCTGCCAACGTTTATTGGGCATGAGACTCACTGAGAGGCTGATAAAACTTACAAGTCTTCATAACCATGTCCTGACAATATAATTTTGGTCATAATTTCTGAGAAAACTCTGCAATGTACTGGACACCACCCCCTGCCTGGTAAAAGCCTTAGGTGGGATTTATGGTCACAGCCCCATGTTGTGTTGTGTGTTGGGTCCAGCTTCCCAACACACCTATCTCCATCTGCGGCTGTGACTCAGCAGCCACTCCACAGATGGTAGGTAAGTGAGCCAAGGTGGCGTGACACAAAAACCCTGGCACATTCTCAATACCAGTTTGCTTTCCTGTCCCACCCTCCCAGATAAAAACTTATTTCTCTAGAGTCGGTTTTTTATCTGACCTGATTCTCTCCATTGAGAATCCCATAAACTTCTTTGGAGTCAATGAAATTCTGGTAGATCTTATACTGTTCATCAGTTAGACGGCAAAATAAGACCTGTAGGGAAAAGGAAGGAAATAGCTTTAGAAATACATTAAGTTATCAATAAGATGCCCTTTTTAAAAAAGAAAGTGCAACATACACAATTTTTAACAACACATCTCTCAGTTAAACAGAGTTCTCCCTTTTCCATATCCATCCACCCCCTGACGCCAGCCCATCAACCGGCCATCCCTCCAGTCTGCCTTCCTTCTCATAGGCAGTTTCAGGACCCAGGTACAGAGTCATGCTTCATTTCAGCTCAGTAAGTGATGAGAGACTCTCTCCAGCCTCTCACCTACACTCTGTTTTACCTCCCCCGAAATTCTTCCATACTCAGGGTTTACAAGTTTACCAGGCGATAAAGCAACTCCTACCCTCCCAGTCCTCTGGGGGTCACATGCCATCACATTGCCCACGTCCTGCCTCTCAGTCCCTTCTCTAAGTCTAAGCTCCACCTCAAGGTTTGACTTTCTTCACTGCCTTTAGAGTCAGTGCCCAGCAGGACCCCAATCCTGCAGCAGCCTTCCACTGTCTACCTCAAGAGGCACTGCCTAGCACCACTCAAAGCCCCAAATAGCTGTGCTAACACCCTGGGGGTTCCTGAGCCACTCAACTGCCAGCCATCTTTGTTTCAACTTCTAGTCACCAACATTCAGACAAATAAACCACAAAAGCTGAACTCGAAGCTTCAGGGATGTGTATCCATAGGGGTTTGGTTCCCATCCCTAAAATAGCCCTACTTTTGCATCTCCTTCATGTAGGTGAACAAGACCAGTCCAGTGCAGAACCTGAAACAAGCCTTCAACCTCTGCACTGGCTCTCAGCACCCATCTGTCTTCCTCAGGACAGTCGCCTGCCTATTAGACTCTCCACAAGAAAAAGGGGGAACCTCCCAGGGACACGAAGGACAGCACTCACTGGCCAGCTGCTTCCCAAGCCAGCACCTGGTACAAGTCACCGATGACACTGAAAATGCCCCAAAGCATCAGAACTGACTACAGACCTGCCAAGTACACCAGGCTCTTCCCAGTTCAGCTACTTGTCCCTCACTCTGCCAGCTCCAGCCCCACCGCCTCGTAGCCCCCTTCAGCCTGTCTGCCTGGGCTCTTCTTCTGTCCTTTCCTCTGATGCTACTTCAGCTGTTTACTTCTTGGTCTCCACATTTTCTTTGGACAAACCAATCTCTGCTCAGAACTGTAACCTTACCAGCTCACTATCTTAGCTATAGCCAGCCGAACCTTCTCACGTCTCTCAATGTCTTAAGCAAGTGGATGTTACCCAGTACTTCAACATATTCTAAAGTAAACTACTTGTCCTCTGGAAGCCACTATCACAGCAGATCCGTCTTAGTGTCTAAGGGCTTTGTGGGGACACAAAGGTAAAATGAGATACAGGGTTAGAAAAGAGGCAGGGATAAAGGTGGCCCTGGTGACAGATCCTCCAACATACAAAATCTACAATGTGTTTTACTTGAAGGCCCTGAGAATAAGATGCAATTATCGATTAAGATTACAAAATACAACCGGGAGTGGTGGACAAACCTGTAATCTCAGCACTCAGGGAGGCAGAGGCAAACAGATCTCTGTGAGTTTGAGGACAACCTGCTCCACAAAGTGAGTCCAGGACACCCAAGGCTACACAAAGAAATCCCGTCTTAGAATAAATAAATAAATACATATATACATACATACATACATAAGATTACAGAATACCAGGGTGGATTCAGTATCATCCTTTTAATACCAACGCAGATGACATCAACCCCTTTCATAGCATATGCTCATGAATATATTCACAAAGAGTAAAACTGGCCTTTCTTATGACCAGTAGAACCAAGCTCTGGCCTCTAGATGGCCATGTGACTACCCCCTTAGCTATAATTTTTTCCTTACTCCCAGCTTCAGCTTCCCTGGCACCCCTGCTGCCCACAAGTACCATCACACTGCCCCAACCATAACCTGTAATGTTCTTCTGCCAAATCCCTAACAACTCATTCTTTGACCTCCCTTAGCCTTCAGCACAATTAGCGGATCAAAGGTCTCCTCTGACCATCCATTAGAGAAAGCCCTCTCCTTCAGCATGTCTTACTCCTCGATTTAATGACTGGAATGACCCCATTACCTTACTTATTTTGCACCTATGAAGTCTATGTCCCAGGACTGCTTGTCACTGCTGTGTCCCAGAGCTTATACAGTGTGTGGAGGGAATAAACTGTGGACCTAAGGAACATGGAAATACTTTAGAGTAGTTGTAGGGTCAGGCCAATGTGTTAACAGAAGGAAACCAAAGCCTGTGGACTAGAGGAAAAATCCAGCCATGGGATTTTGATGCCACAAATGGGTACAGACATCAGCAGACCAGCCTGCCCACAGTCCCAGGACCAACAGTAGGCCTAGTCAGTTACACAGACACACTCATGCTTGAGAAATGCTTGATCACCTCCCAGATTCACAGACCTGTTCATTTTTATCTGGCAAAGACAGGCTCATCTTGACATCTGATTTCATTCTCCGCAGTAGGTATGGGTTAATGGTGTCTCTTAAGACACATGCACACTTATAGGCTGTTTTAACCTTTGATAAAAGAAAAAAAAAAAAGATATTAGCTGAAGGAATACATTTGTTTCTTCTCAATTGATTTCATTTCTTAAAAATTAAAGAATGATCAAATGGCATATAAATTCAACTTAGAAAAAGTCAAGTTCTGTATACTCCAGAGGATGGCACCTTTCAAAATATTATCATCAGAGAAAAAAAAATTACCTCATTAACCAAAATACAGGTGAAAAAAACCTGTTACATCATGGTTTATCTCCTCTCTTGTACTTATTTAATTATCACTGTATTGTTAAGCCTGAAAGTAGAGACTGACCATCCTCTACAGGAAAAACTAGCTTCCAACAATCCCTATTTATGATCTTGCATTTTCCAGGAGCTACAAAGGACCTGGGCTTTTCAAGGGTGGAGATCAAAGCTAAGCATGGGGGGAGCTGTAGCCGTGAGAGCCACCAGCTAATACTGGGAGATTAGGCTCCAGGGAATAAGTCCAAGAGGAGCCCTATGATCCCAGAAATGAAAGGTCACTCTGGCCTAAAATGGAGCATATGGCTCCATAATGGACATGGCCACATGAGAGGGTATTAGCTGTACACAGAAAAACAAAGACCCCGCAGCCCAGGACGCCATACCCTCTGCATTTCACTTCTGGGCAAGCAAAGGCTTCAATTAATTATTGATAGTTTAAAAAATTCTAAATAGGTTTAACAATTCAGTAAATTATTATTTTATAAAACAACAAAAATCTAACAATTTAAATGTAAGAAACTTAGTTTTAAAATACACTCGAGCATAATGAACACAGGAAAGTTCAAGTTAAACACTTTACTGTTAAAAAGAAAATATTTCTTTTTTTTTTATAATTTATTTTATTTTATGTGCATTAGTGTGAAGGTGTCAGATTCCTTGGAATTGGTGGTATAGACAGTTGTGAGCTGCCATATGGGTGCTGAGAATTGAACCCAGGTCCTTTGGAAGAGCAGACAGTGCTCTTAACCACTGAGCCATCTCTCCAGCCCCCAGAAAATATTTCTTAACACCCTGAGTACTCCTACTCACATCTGCATCAGCTACGTTCACCTGTCTGCATGAAGGTGCTGTGTGCGTGTGTGCGGACAATTACCAAACACAGGCAGCACCTGGAATACAGAAGGCTACACTGCTAAGAACTTCCAGTCACTCTGAAAGTTTATCACTGGGACAATAGCAGAAGTTACCGGTAAGGATTTGAAGTACAGATGATTTATAATGCTGAGATGTTAAACTTCATAATTTACCAACCCAGCCCACTGAGAAAGCAAGGTCTGGTGTCCTAGGTAAATGCTTCTCATCTCCCTGCTGCTGCTTTGGACACTGGGGAACTACACCAGGGCTCGCCTGGTGTGATCAGCTCCAGCTCCCACTGTCTTCTGCATGGCCTTTCTGAGGAGATGGAAGAGGAATCTGGTATTTAACGCCCACCTGGTCTCCAGGTCTGTATCTATTAGTAGAAATACAGGGGGCGCGAGGCAGTTATGCCCTTCCTCTTACTTGTAAGCCCATAAGACACCTGCTGAGACTGACAGGAGAGAGACGTGGCACAGTCCAGCCTCCCCTCTGCAGAACGGGCAGACCTTATGCGGGTTCCCTAGACCTCGATGAGGTTCCAGCAATTGTCTGGCAAGGTTCTTTTTAGTTCTGAAGCCCCGGCCTCTTATGGGCTGGGGTGGCCTGCCCTCAGCTCCCCAGCCTTTGGGCCTGCTTGGCTCCCTGGGCTCCAGGAGGCCTCAGTCTGAGGGCTAAATGTGCCATCGGTAGCTACAGGCCTCATGGCGTTGTTCTACATGTCCCTTCACCACATTCCCCTCGCTGTGCCCCACTGGATTTCTAGGGAGGCTTCTGGTCTTCCATCATATGAGCCACAGTCTGACACAGCAATTACCTGTGGGCAGACTGTTCACATGATTCAACAGTGTGCGAAAAGTGCGGCCTTATACAAAAAGAGCAAAGGAAAGCAATGCCCCTCTAACAAGACCTTGCCATCCAGAACTAAGAAAGATACACTCGGCAGTTTCCTCTTCCCAGTTTTGCTCTCTATAAAGGCAAATGCCTCACAGATACTACATTGGAAATTACAGAAGGAAACAGCTCAAAGGTTTTAAGTTGTGTGTTGTTTCTGTAATATAATAAAATCTTGTACAGCTCTCCTCTGCTCCATCCAAGACACAAAGCATTCCTCTGCCCAGTGTATCCAACTGTGTATGATACCCATCCATTAGTCACCAGCAGTGTGTTCAGTTATCAGACTGCCTGTCCTATACCACAGGGCTTGTCCAGAGCTGCAGGCATCCGCCAGATGTCTCGGAGCAAACCTCCTACACACAAGGAGGAGCTCTGCACACACGTCCCTGAGACGAGGATTTCAAGAAGCACACTACATGTCCTTGTTCTCAAGACATCTTTCCACAAGTGACCTGTTAATTCCCAAAGGAAAATATTACATGCAGAGTTTAGAAATCTGGCCCAGTGCACTTTGCCAAGCAGTCCTCAGTAACAGGACAAAGCGGCAGACTCTACAACCTAAGAAAACATCATGTTCATTTGTGGCTCCTGCCAAAACATGCAGTTTGAATGCAATGTGAAAGCCATGTGAGACAAGCTTTAACTTTGGCTTGAAATGATTCTAAAATGGAAAGTTAAAATAACAACAACATAATCAAAGGACAAAGCAAGATCCAGAGAAGGGAGCAGTTAAACGCTTATTAATAACCTTTTACTCACAAAACATAAAGCAATTAAAATTGGTTTTTGACAAGCCTCTGGTTTTAAAGGTATGAAATTATTTTTATAATTAAGTTTTCCAAAACATAAGATCATCTTTGGAGGACTTTAGTCTTGGCCCAGCCAGGACCCAGGACGTGCACACCCATCTGAACAGGAATGCAGATACTCTACTTCACTCCAAGGCTGGAACCTGCTCCCATAGGTCACAGACTGCCCCCAGGAGAGCTCTACCCTCTGAACTTCATAATAACCCAAAACCACTTGTGGCCCAGGCCTAAAGCGTCAGTTGGGTTCAGCAAGCCCAACCCTGTTTCCTTTATTCTATCAGCACCTACATCTTCCTTATCCTGCCTAAAATGCCACCTGCATCTCCTATTCCCTACTATGTTATTCTCAGACCACCGCCTGGTCTGATCTAGCTCCTCACTTCCCCCTCAAAAGTCCCAGGTCCTCTAATTCCAGCCTCCTCATAACCACCTGCAGACAACCCCAAGAAACGCCACCTTTCATCTACTACTGCCTCTTGGTGTCCCAGGGCAACAACTCCCTTTCAAGGCCCTAGTTCCAGCTTTTCCACAGTAAAGAGTCAAACCAGCACCATGTCCAGTACGGTCCAGCAGCTCTTCTGCTGCTCCAGCAATAGAACACAGCTGTGCTCACACACAGCCCTGACCCTGACTGCCTGTACTCTGTGTCCTGTGTTCCCAGGCCGGGTTAAAGGAGCGGATCATTGTGTCTTCCCTAGCTCCCAGTCCACCCCTTCTCTCTGAAAAAGGCACACTATCCTGGTTGGCATCAAAGTGTCCACTGTCCAGAACTGCTCATTCTCCTTCATGAGTCCTCACTGATCTTATGATCACTTCCAAAATTATGTTTAAGCTTATTATCTGGGCGACACTTCCCAGGAAAAAGCAACACTGAAACCATTTCCTTTCTCTTGCAAAAAGAGAAGTTTAATCTAGTGTTTTCCTTAAATGATTTTTAAAAACCTTACATGCAAAAATAGGTAATGTCTGACTTTACCAAACACCAATTTATAAGCCATTTTCTTACACTGTCAATGACTTGGCTACAAAGTATCATGTTTGGGGAAAGGCCAAAGGTGCCACTGCCTAGCACATTACCTGCACTGGGGAAGCATTGGAATATCCTCCCATAGTGATGGGGACAGAGAACTGCTCCATAAACACAGGCAATGTGCCTAGCTTTCCTGGGAAGATGAAGTCGAAGAGTGACCACAGCTCTCGGAGGTTATTCTGCATCGGTGATCCAGACAAGATGATCCGATGAGGTGTGCGGAACTATTTGGGGAAATGAGACATCCTTTTATGATATTTTCTTTAACAGATGAATGCCATCCAACCCCCAAACATTCCAATGTGATAGTTAATTAACACATTTAATCATTATTTTTGTTTGTCCGTTATTTTGGTTCTCTCCAAAATGTGGATATTTTGTCGAATTTTCTAAGTACATATGGATGAAAACACTGGGAAGAATTCTGTCTTATTTTTCAGGTTAAACAGCACCTATTAAAGTTGGATGAAGCTACACTCTAACAGCTGACTCTTTCAAAAGACCTGAATAATGAAAATCACAAAGGACAGGCATAAACAATTTTCTACATTAAGACAAAATTCAATAAATGTATTCATAAAGCAAATTGCCTATTCTAAAATTAAATGTCACTACCCATCTGAAATCCCTCTCTCTGAAAGCAGCCATACCTGTTTGCAAGCAAGGGTGATAGCAGCATTTGGATTTCGAATTTTGTGTCCCTCATCTAAGAGCACATAGTGCCAGTCATGTCTGCTAATGTCATCTTGCATCAGCCGAATGTAGGAATAAGACGTTATCAAGACTCCATGACAATGGACAATATCTCGGATCAGCCTCTCCTATAACCACAGGAACACCATAAAGGCAGATTTATGTAAGAAGCAAAAGAAAATCAAGCAGGACCTACAACGACCATCTAAAGGTTAGATATGGATTCTCATGAGAGCACCTAAAGCATACTGTAAAAATATACAAACACATATACAAAGAGAACGTCTGGGCATGAGAATACAAAAGTTTTCCTCCTGAGGAAAGAGTCCACATCAAACATCTTTGATGAGACCTGCAACTATCAGAAATAAACAATTTTTCTTAAGCGAAGTATTTAATTCTTAGCAGGAAAGGCCAAACCCGGAATCTTACTTGATCCGGGCTTCAGTCAGGCCAGGTTCAAGAAAGAAGCCACCTGGAAGCTGGCCAGGCACACTGGTAAGTGCAGGAGAAGTAGTCCCACAGAGCCTCTGGGCAGAGGGGTTAGGGTAGTGCTCCCTCTACAGGGCACGCTGACACCAACTCCTGGGGCAAGGACAGATGAGTCCCAGGAACTCCCCTTCTACATATGGAAACTATGGCTTGAATCAGGTCCTGCAGTTGGTGAGGGGCAGAGTCAAGACTCAAAGGCAAAAGCATAGCCCAGTCCAAAGCTACAGTCATCCAGTATGAGGTCGCACTGCTGTTCACAGTGTCACAGAAGAACGCTTCAGAGTGAAAACATACAGAGCATTTTTAAATCCTGTCAGACATGTACAGCATGGAATACTTCTAAATAATGGAGTAGTACTTTTCTAAGTAGTACTGTAATTCCTGTTTAATTAATAAAACCTGGAGGAAAATCAGGGTAACAAATACAAAAGTGGACCCAAACCTCCACTTTCTCCAAGCGTACGAGTGTGTGCATGTGTGTGTGTTTACATGGATGTGGAGGCCTGGAGGCCAAAAGACAGCTTCCGGTGTTGTTCCTCAGGTCCTGTCCACCTTTTCTTTAAAGACAAGGGCTTGGGCTGGTGAGGCAGCTCAGTGAGCAAAGGTACTTGCCAACAAGTCTGGTGACCAGAGTGTGACCCTGTAACTCTTGAATGAAAGGAGAGCTGATGGCTGGCAAGTTATTCTCTGACCTCCACATACCTCTCATGCATGAGCACACAGGAGGAAGAAAGACAAAAACACAGCCTTGAGCTTAAAGGACACCTAAACCAGACTGACATGAACACTAACCTGGGATCTAGTGATGATATACCAAAAATTTGCAGTATAAATATCAGATGTTTTTTTTTTTTAATTTTATATTTATTGTATATCTTAACAGGGAATGACATGTTTGTTTTAAAAAAAAAAAAAAACAAAAAAACCATGAACCTTTATCTGTATAAAACACTATCACGAACATGGGCAAAGCCCCCAAAGCAGGGCAGCTCCTGGCACAGGGTCAAAGGCCTTTCCACAGACAAGAAATAAGCCAAGCAAACGAGAGAGAGAGCCAGAGAGAGAGAGAGACAGACAGAGAAAGAGAGAAACTGAGGACACAGGACCTGAGCATGCTGTTAGGGCTCCTTCTCAGTTAGCAGTATGGCTCAGACATAAGAGTACTCAATCCTGTACACCCACAATCTCAGATATACAGGCAACTCAACGGGCAAGGGAGGTAAAACGACAGAACTAACAAGAGACAAAACCAGTGATTCTTAAAGAAAATACAGAGCAAGGCTGCACGTGCTGGCACTCCCCCATATCCCAACGCTGAGAATGCAGAGAATTTACACAAGAAGTTGCAGGCCAACCAGGGCCACAGAATCAGATCTTGTCTCAAAGAAAGCCAAAATAATAATGGACTCTTTGAAAAGGCAAGCCAAAAAATTCAGTGGGTAGCTTGAAAAAAATGTCAGAAATAGAGAGAATGCAACACCACTAACAGTGATTATCAGAGACCCTCAACATTTCAACAGAAATGAATTTAAAAAATTAATTATTCAAGCCAGGCAATAGTGGTGCATGGCTTTAATGTCAGCACTCAGGAGGCAGAGGAAGATGGATTTGTGAGTTTGAGGCCAGCCTGGTCTACACAGAAAGTTTAGGACAGCCAGAGCTACACAGAGAAACCCTATCTCAAATAACAACAAATTAACTATTCAAAAGAGAATGGCACAAGAAGAACCAGGCTAACTGGGGATCAGAAGGACTAGAAAAGGGTATTATGTCTTTCCCACTGCAAGTGACCTCCCAAGGGTATCCCGGGAGCCCCAGGAACAGTTCTCCAAACTGTCCAAACTGGTGGGATACAGCTGGCCCAACGCAGCCCTCTAAACAAAAAGAACTGCATGCACATCCCTAGCTACAGTCATCACTTTACAGGTGACAGATAAACCTAGCAATGTGCCACCCTCACAGGGTTCCTCACAGGGATACAAAAGTAGCTCAGTACGAAAAGACCTAATAGCACTCACACACTGTTTATAATTCAAAAATCTTCTAAGTGATATTTTATTAATATCATTTTAAGAAACTGGGGGTTAAAAATTTATTTTAGGCCAGGCATAGTAGTACAGCTCTAACCTTCACATTTAGGAGGCTGAGGCAGGAGGCGTGTAAGTTCAAGTCCAGCCTGTATCATATAACAAAGCGGAGGCAGGCGGCGGCTCAGGATGTAAAGGGGCTTGCTCCCAAGCCAGACAACCTGAGTGCAAGTCCCCAATCTACAAAGTAGACAGAGAAGACAACTCCCACGCATTGTTCTCACTTCCACGTGGCACGCTCCAGCTTGCTGTTGTGCACACACACACACACTCATACACGCACACATGCATGCAAACAAACAAATGAACAAAATTAATGTGGGATGGGCAAGCAGCTCAGCTGGCAGGTGTTTGCACAACACACACAGAGCCCTGAGTTCAGTTCCCAGACCTGAATAAACTTGGCCTGGCTGGGGTACACTTGTAATCTCAGCACTTGGGGAATGGAGGCAGGAGGCCCAGAAGTCTCCAGGCTGTCCTCAGCTACACAGTGAGACCATGCCTTAGAATCAGGTGTACAGACAGTACATATGCATTATCTGTGTGTGTGTGTGTGTGTGTGTGTGTGTGTGTGTGTGTGTGTGTGTTTGATAAAGTGTAAAGGAGTTCCAAGACGGCTGAAGAAAAACTGAAGTGGGAAATGCGTGTTCATGTGCCACAACACACAAGGCATTCAAGGAGCTAATAAAATTGCTTTACAGACTACAAACCAAAGACACAGTAAAGGCTCAACAAGTGTGAACTATGTTATCACAGCAACTACTCTGCCACATCCCATTTGAAAAGTTCACTGTCCAATGCATAATTCTGTAGCAATAATTGTTGTGGTGCACAGCCTCGCAGACATGGGCAGAGAACTGAGACCCACCTCAATCCACCACGTCGCCTCTCCTTCAGCTCCTAGTGGTAAGTGCAGAAAAGAACCGCCCGGGGAAGACTCCACTCCCCATGAACCCCATAACTGAGCTGCTAGAGCTAATTCCCACAGTTCCTCCACACCCACATCTTCTACCAAGATTCTAGGCAGGCAGCACCCCAGCTCTATCCCTGTTTCCCTCCAGGAGATCAGGGGCACCCCAAAGCCGTGACTGTAGGCAGAGCATGAAGTGCCAGCAATGGAATACTCCACGACTGAGTGCTGTCCAGGTGTCAGCCATGTGCACACCGAGAGACAGAAAAAGGAGAACAGTTATAGTTGCCTGGGGCTTGAAATAAGAGTAAAAGTTAAACCACCACTCACATTTATGAAATATTCACAACTGTGTATGGCTAAGCCCTGCAGATCCACTTGCTCATGAACTGTTGCAAGGCTCACCACAGCCACTCCATTTACCCCTAAGGGGCCCAATCCCAAAAGGAGTTCTTGAAGTTAGCTTTACTGTAGTTAAGCTAACGAGACACTGACCTGCTAAACATATGCCACTGTAGCAATGCACAGACAGCTTCTTGTGAGTGCTTATTTGGAACATTCTACAATGTTAACTATAGAACCACAGAATTCCTATTTCTAGTGTTCAAAAAAATGTATAATGATTATAAAGAATTAAAAAAGATGCTTCATAGAAAGAACAAGAACTTGTACAAAATGTTCACAATGAAAACATAATCTCTACTGGGTAAAAACAATGCATCTATGACTATTGATGTTCACCTGATTTAATCTCAGAATCCTATAACTGCCTGGCCTGGAGTTTCAATAATGGTGAATTGTTGAATATTATGGACGTCTCAATCCAAACACTTAAGACAAATCATCTCGGGCGGTTTCAAATTAAAAGCTTGTAAAATATGTAACCTCTCCTAGTTTTTGCAATTAATAGGGTACATCTGCAATTAGCCTGACTTACTGAATGTAGTGCTGTTGTCATTAAAAGATGTCTGAGGAAGTGCTGCTGTTATTATGGAGGCTCAGGAGACCAATCCCTCCTAGAGGGCAAACAGTGGACTGGTAGAAAACAACAGCCATAAATCACACTGTCAGGCAGCGGGAGAAGCAGTGAAGCTCAGGCACATGAAGGCCATTCACACTGAACACGGCTCGGCAGCTTCCCAGGCAGGATTTACTGCACCTGGAATTAATTAAAATTTCCTTCAAGCTAAATCTTTAATAAACAAGGATTTGTGCTGACAATGAGGAAAAAGGGCTCCAGCAGCGTAATTTTACAGTATACCTCACAGAACACACAGAGCAGCTATGGTATCTTGCATCAGGTGCACATAGCAACTCAGAGCTAATAGGAAATACAACACTTTGCTTTGTAATTGTACTTGGAATGCGTCTGGAATGTTTGGGACACTGGGAGGAGCATATGACCACCCTTTTCATTCCCACTTGTTGTTTTTATTTTTCCTCTCCCTTTGCATTTAATTTTTGTTATATTTATTAATTATTCTGTGTGTGTGTGTGTGTGTGTGTGTGTGTGTGTGTGTGTACAGCTGAATGTGACAATGTGACAGTAAGGAGACAACTCTCTGGAGTTGGTTCTCTCTTGCCACTTTGTGAGATCCAGAAAGCCCTCCCCTTTCTACTTTTAAAGAAGTCAAGTGTCTGGCTCCTGTTCCACAAAGCAGGCCTTTTTAAAAAATACAAGATAGCATTCATCAGTTGTGATTTGCTTTCCAACTATCCCCTGACCTTACAATTTCCAAAGAAACTGTAATGCTTTAAATCATTCTTTCCATTTAGGACATGAGAAAAAGATCTAGACATTGGTCATGAACATTTTTTGGTAAGAAAGGTATGAGCTGCTCTATCTAGAATGTGTAATCAATAGTCTTTGGGGCCACCCGTCTCAGCCACTGAAATCAAAGCCTGTGCTATGCTATGTTGCTCTCAAGAAAATAAGTGGGAAACTGTCACCTCTCAGGGAGTACACGCTGTTCTTCACCTGCGCAGATTAACTCAATAAAGCTTCACAAAATCATCAAAATTCCCAATGATGAGCTACACATCACCAAACCAGGCTCAGGGAAGCCAGTAGCCACCAGTTTCAAAACTCCACAACAGGAGGCATGCATGCAGCTAAAACCCTGCTATGGTAAATAAACCTTGTCCTCGAGAGGCTTCAGGAGGTGGGGGATTTTTTTTTTTTTTTTTATTTCTAGGATTCTAGTGGTATGAGTTGATCAAAATGAGAGAAAACTGTATGCATTATCTGAAATGTCCACAAAATCACTAGATCCTACATATGAGGAAAAGCTGGGAGACAGTGACAGTTATTTCAGAATACAAGCAAGTGCTCATTATACATACCCTTGCAAACTGAAAAGAGGATCCTTAATCGTTAAATAAGCTTTTCTGCACAGTGCTAATGACGCCACCACCCACTGTGCGTTGTGGGATAAGTACCGCAGACTGCCTTCTTTCATTATCTCTCATGTATGGTCTTTCCCCAAGAAGAGTTGGCTTTCAAGGTTAATTGGAAACAGCATACCCTCTTTCTTCCTGAGACCTAACAATATGAAACACCTGGACTATAGCATTTAGAGTTGTTCCACAAATAAATATTAATCAACTCATATACAATATTTTTCTGTGTGAGCAAAAAAAAAACTGTAATGAAAAGCACCAGGAAAAAAAAAAAAAAAAAGAGTCCCTGCCATGTGCACGCACATGAGTGTAGGCAAAATTTCTTTAGCAGGGAGAACCTTAATATAAAAGAAGCAGAGACAGGGTGGGTGGGGGTCAGGGTGGGGAGTGTCACAAGTTCAAAGCCGACCAGGGCTAAAGAACAAGACTCTCTTTCAAAAAACACAAATTAAAACAGCAAAGGAAACCATGAGCCAAGGTGAACATTATTCCTTAAAAGTCTGTCCTCCCGACAGATAAGGGTCCCAAGTTCTTCCAACAGATTCCCTTATCAACTACCTTTCCCCTGGCTAGTCAATGAAAACTACTCTTTATATGAGTTCTCAACATGAAACATTAAGAAGTATCAGCAAATAGCAAAATGAAAACACAACGGGAAATGTCTCACCAGGGTGATACCAGAGCCAACTAGCAGCTGAGTCTGACGAGAAAAGCATTACTAAAGTACTAAACCATTACTACTTTAATACTGCTAAAAATAATTTCTTTTAAATCACAGCATTTGCTCTATTTTGCTAATTATTTCAATTCTATTTGTTTTCTATTTATCTTTTAGAATCTTGGGCAAAGACAGTTGGCTTTGATAAGCAAGACTCCAACTCACCTTATTTGAGTGACTGTATCATAGATATTTCTGATCTATCAAAAATTCTGCTTACCCAAAATCATGAGTGCATGGGAATTTGCAAGAAGAAGAACACAGAGCAAAATTAAAGACCCAATAGTTCAGTGGCCACAGAGGGCAACTCGGGTGAGGAGAAACCTCCATGGCCCTAACGGCCAGCACTGCATCTCTCACGCAGGAGCTGAGCAGACTCAGAATACTGAACCTGGACACACTGCCACCTGACAGGACTCCTACTGTAAACCTGTAAGACTGAAAGTATTATTTGTTCTATTTAGTGAACAAACATTTGTTGTGCTTGAGATGTGCAGTATGCATTCTACAGTCTACATGTTGAAACAGATGGGAAGGAAAAAAAAAAAAAACCAGCCTGGTATTATTACATCTACACATATAACATCTACACATCTACACATATAACACATCTACAGAATTTAGGAGCAAAGGTAAGCCTCCTTCTGAAAAATACATCTATAGCCGGGAATGGTAGCACACGTCTTTAATCCCATCACTTGAGAAGCAGATGCAGGTGGATCTCTGTGAGTTTTAGGCCATCCTGGTCTACAAAGAGAGTTTCAGGACAGCCAGGGCTATGTAGAAACCTTGTCTTTAAACAAAACAAAAACAATAGAGGAAGGGAGGGGAGAAGCAGGGAGGCAGGGAGAGAAAGAAGCAGAAAAAGGAGGAGGAGGAGGAGGAGAAGGAAGGAAGGAAGGAAGGAAGGAAGGAAGAAAGGAAGGAAGCAAGCAGACAGGCAGGCACACATTCTGGGTGGTGGTGGCACACACCTTTAATCCCAGCACTTAGCAGGCAGAGGAACTGTGTGTGTGAGTTCAAGGCCAGCCTGATCTACAGAATGAGTTCCAGGACATCAAGAACTACACAGAGAAACACTGTCTTGAAAAACTGAGAGAGAGAAAGAGAGAGACAGAGAAAAAAGAGAGAAAATGTATCTGTTACCACATCTGCAAGCATGGGAGAACCTGCAATATCCAAAGCACTGTGATCCAGGAGGACAAAGCAAGGAAATTAAACTATCTTTACCTAGGAAAGTCTCAAAAGTAGCATGCTCTCTCTCCAGCATCAGAAATATATTTGAAAAGCATAATTACAGATGCATTTATTAATTAAAGTTAACTATTTCTTATTCAGAATGCTTTGGGACCAGGGGTAGGTCAGACTTTGGAGTATTTGCATATGTGCGCTAAGGTGCCTTGGAGATAGATCTCAGCCTAAACACAAACCCCTTATGTCTCATACAGATCTACAGGCTCCCTGCTAGGAGTTTCCATACAGACAGTTCTGGGGCCTGCATTCCCTGTGACCTGTCAGTTGAGTCAGGTATGGACTGTCCATTGCTCAGTTTCAGATTTTAGAGCATTTTGGATTTCTGATTAAGGATGCTCAGTGTGTATGTTACTTTTCAAACCCACTTTTCTGAAACTGTTTAAAGCTGCTAATGTCAAAAGTACCTCCAGTCAACTGCCATGTAGACCACCTGATTTGTGATCCCATGAACACACTCTGCTTTGCGATCCCCTGTCTGTGCCCAGCCATGTTTTCCTAGACATCAAAATATCATTCTATCAGACTATTAGAACAAGAAAGCCTTTGTTCATATCTGTTTGATAACATACAGCTTCAAGTCAATAATTAAATGAATTAAAATGAAAGAAACATACATAGGTACATTTGGAAGAAAGAAAAAAAAAAGCCAAATATATAGAGTAGAAGGCAAACAAAAGCAACCAAGCACTGTAACATTACCTTTTTGTGGCCATAGGAACCTGTTTCATGCAGAATCGCCACTCTGAATGGAGGCCACCATGTGTGGAATTCTTTCACCCACTGATGCATCACTGTTGTTGGGCAGACAATTATAGTAGGCCCCAGTCCCTCGAACCTGCACCCAAAAGTCCAAGAAGAAAACACAACCATGAAAGAGAGTAGAGAAAAATAACCAACAGCCAAAACCTTGAATGGTTCAAGAAAGTTGCCTGCTGTCGATCACTTTGCCCTAGCCAGGCTGCCATGCCTAACCTTAGTGGATAACGAAGAGCTCAGACTTGATGTGCTGGGGTAGGCTTAAAGTGGGGAGAGCTCCACTTTTTTGAAGACAAGGGGAGGGGGGATAGAATACAGAGGGTAGGAGGGAGGGAATGGAAGGAGAGGAGGGAGGGGGCTTTGGTTAGGATGTAAAGTAAATATATAAATTAAAAATAAAAAAAGAAAACATAACCATGAAAGACACTAGAGAAAGTGACCAACAGCCAAAACCAAAAATGCTTCAAAAAAGAAAATAAACCATGAAAATTCACTGATGCTTTAAGGAAAAAGAGCTACCAAAGTTAACAGTAAGGAAAATCTGTATGAATCCATTCATCACTTAGTGGATGGAGGAATCAAGAAGAAACAGTAAATGGAACACTTGGAACATCTACAGTAAAGAAAAATTAAAATTAAACAATACACAACAAAATACTTCTTCCCTCCTTCAGTTTCTTATCAGTCCGGACAATGCACAGCAGCGTCTTCAATTTGTATAAAGCTTTCCAGTGCACCACAGGTCACAGCCCATGGAATTTCAGTATATCTTTACTGCTCTAGAAAGCATGCACGACAGACATAGTTCAGAAGCGTGGAAGACTGTGTCCAGGGAGGTGCGGTCACTGGGAGCTGGAGGGACGCTCGGAAGTCTGCTCTGGTTGCTGCGGCCTCCTCTCACTATGACATGCTGCCTATTTCCCTCTGCAATGGCAACACAGTGGAGGAGCATCCCAGAGATTACTCTCTCCAGGGAAGTGTGCCACAGAGCTCACAGGGTCACTGAGGAACCCACTGAGCAACATTTATTTATACTAGGAAGGTAGATTACCTAGATAAGAGACAAGGGAGAGTTGAAATATCCCACACAACACAAGCCAGTAGTTATGGACACCACCTGGGTCTGAACACAGCTCTGTGCAACCTCGGGCATATAGTTAACTTCTCTGAACCTCAGTTTCTCATCATGAAGCAAGATAATAATAGAATAGTGCTGAGTTTATAGTTACTATGAAAATTGACAGCTAGTATTGGTGATTGTCATCTAGTAAATACTAAAAGGGTTTGTTTAATAAGACAGTATCATATAACTGTTGAAGCAGTTTTTGAAGAATATTTGATAGCCTGAGAAAATCCTTATAACAATAAACTTTTAAAAACGAGGAGAAAAGAGAAGAAAAAAGAAAACCTTTAATGCAGTTTCCTAACAGGCAGGAGCCGGGAGGCAGATGGAGGCACCTCACCGGAGTCTTCCTCACTCCTGCCTGGCTTCCCCTAGCTCCACTGGAAGCAGACTTACCTAGCTCCCAGAGAGAACTATTTCAGGAGATCCTAAACACTGGTATGCCACGAGGAGGGGATCCCCTCTGTCCATAGCCAAGCAGCACAGCATGTCCCTGAAACTCCCGAAGAAGAACTGCCTGGCTTAGGAAGAAAGAACTCAACACTCCAGGCCAGGGGAGCCATTTTTCTTGCTCTATCCTACTGTGTGTATGGATGCTATTTAGTGTTTAAGATGAAGCACAAATCAAAAATTAATAGTGACGTGCCCACAAAAACACATGCCACCTCTCCTTCACGGCTTTCCAAGCCAAAGGGCAGAACTGTCATCTATTCTTCAAGGCACCAAACCACAAGTCCAGATTTTGTTCCCTGATCAAGCCTTTCGCTTCTCACCATAAGACACCTATACAAATTTACATCCCTTCTACCCGCTAAGTCTCTCCACAGGTCACCATCTCTTTCCCTGGACAGTGTCACTATTCCAGTTGCAGCCACTATAATCTCATCTACATTCTCGCATCTTCTGGCACTTTTTGAAAGCAAGATCTGTCTGTCTGGTCCTTTCCCTTCATGGCCTCCAATGGCTGCTCTTGGAAGAGCACCTCCGGCCTTGGCCTTTGAGACCATATGCAAATCTGCCTGCTGCCTCATTTGTCTTACTGCTCATACAGTTGGCACCAGTGACCTCTGACACAGCCTGCACCGTCCTCAGTGCACACAGTCACTTCCTTCTTTCCCTGCCACCACCTCCTTATCCTTGAAAGAACTGGTCCTTCTCTCCAGACAAACAGATGAGCCTTCCTTGATGTACCCATGCTAACCCTGCTGTAACGTGCATCACTCCTCTTCAGCACTTTTGAAGCCTGGACAATCTCTTTATGGTATAGCCTAGCCCACAGCATGTGAAAGGATAAATATGACAAGATTTATTTAAAGACTGGAAGGAAACGTAAAAATGTGAAGGATTATTTTAAGTTGAAAAGTCATGCATAATTTTTATATTCTTATTATAACTTAGGAAATGATTCCTGAACTTAAAATGTTCAAGATTTCAATGTGAGCCACACAGAGCTTGAAATTGTAAAAATTATCATCTACATAACTAAAGAATAATTGGCCTAGCAAAAAATAAGATACTGGACAACTCTAACTAAAAGCTTTACCACTATATTCCAACACGACAAAATGCCTCAGTCCACTTACGGACCCTTTAGTTCCTGTTGTATATGGTCATTGTCCCCTGGCCCTCAGGGTTGGAACAGAGAATTCGGAGGTCATAACAAACTCAACTCTTCTCACAGATTTCCAAGCCACGTTGTCACCAAAGGCAAGGGCCGAGACAGGTGTCTCTCACTCTCCTTGGGGACAACAGGACTCTGCCCTGGTCCTTGGCCCTTGGCCCCTACCACAACTGCATTCCTTTTAAAAGGATTACATATGCCACCTTCTTTACATCCTCTAGTGGGAAGAAAAGGACTCCTTTTCTTGTCATCACTGTGCACTTGGCAGGGTTAGGAAACAGCCAATCAGCTGTTGTTTAATGCAGTCTAAAACAAGCTCACCTTCAAACAAGCCTCATGTATATGCATGTCTGCATGCCTTTTGAACAGCGTTTTCCTCTCCTTCATAATACAACTTCTACAGACTGCTATGTCAGTGACATACGTGCTTATTTAGCCTACTATTTCATCTCAGCTGAACTGCTATCTGGCACTACTGCTGTCCTTTAATTTCTATCTTTCTCCCTCTGTTAGAGCAGGGAGGTTTTCATGCTGAGCTGAAATCCCACAGCCGAGGCAGGCTATTCCTGGACCACAGAGGGACAAGGCAATCCATTAACAGGCAAGCGAACCACTTCCCCAGCCTCAATACCAGTGAGATGATGCAAAATGGCTAAGTGTACGAGAGTGATTAGCATCAATTACCAAACATACTATAGCTCCTTTCATCTTTGATTATCATTGATTACTTAATGAATTTAGGACCAGTCAATAGCTCCATGGTCAAATACTTCAACTTACAAGTCGGAAGCCTACTAGTTACGGCCTAGAACTTACTGGGAATTACAAAGTGTAACATTTACCCTTCAAAGTTCATAGGACATTAACTCTTCATTAGAAATTAATTAAAAATTGACAGCCAGGTCAAGTATTAACTGAAATATGTTACAAAATTCAGAGGGTCATCTCTATAAGAATGCTCAAGAAAAAAGTCAGTGTGTTCATTGTACACTGGGAACACAGCTGACAGCAAGCACTTTTTCATTCATGTAATATGCTTCTTTCTCTTCTAAAAGCAAACAATGGCACAACATCCATCAAAACGTAATACAACAAACTACTTTTAGTAAAAGTACCTTGATATCACAGAGGTTCAGTGTTCACAGACTTTAAAATTAGGTTATCACCTCCAAAGAGGTGATAACATCTCTAGCCAACAATACAATTCTGGCTTACACAGATATTCCTGTTGCTTTAAGAGCTATTTTTCTTTAAGACTTAAGGTCACCTAGTACAGGAGAAGGTTATGTTACACAGTCATTCTTCATGGAGCTCCTCAGCCAGCCCTGTAGTGTGGCTGATACATCTCCATCCCCTCAGAAGCCAGTTCCACCGATACTATCTTAATGAGGATGATGTGGGCACTGCCACACTATTTCATGATAGAAAGAGAATATGAGCATTGATAGTTAACTGATTGCAGCTGATGCTCATCAGAAGCCCTCACTCTACTCCTCATAGGAGTTCTCCACTCAAGTGAACATGTTTTAATTTTTATATTATCAGGGATGAACTAAGGTCTCCTACACCCAGAATGTTAAGACTCTACACAAGGTTCATGATAACAGGACGAAAAGAGAAATTGGGAAGTGAGAAAATTCCAGAAATAATTTAAGGAGGCATCCAGAACAGTCAGGGCATTCTGGCTATCGGAAAACCTCAAAAGAGCCACAGAGGCAAGGCCTGTTGGGAACGGAAAATCCTTAGAATGTGGGCAGTAATGTTCTGCAGTTGCTGACTTTGAACACATAGCACTGCTTCACAGACATCTGCAAATGGCATACAGTGACTGCCTCAACTCACAGGACTTAGGTCCATTGGATAACTCCACCACGGCCACTCATTAAATAAGCCTGCTGAAATACAGGGAGCTCTTGGTTTATCTGTGTCTGAGTAGAAACATCCTACGGAATTTATCCACCAACATTTTTACCAATATAGAGTTCCATGAGGCCAATTTACAACTTAAACAAGGCAATGCTCACAGCTCTTTATTACCAGAACAAACATTTCAGTGCGCCCTCCGAACAGATTAACTGCTTACCTTTCAGAATACTAATGCTTTAGGGGTGTATTAGAAAATAAGCAGAAACAAGACTAAAATACTTTCCTCACTTTCTGGAAGTCATTCAGGCGCTGACCTTGGGAGGAAAGTGTAAAGCATACTGAGCAGATTAAGTAACTTCACTCCGAAAGAGTGAGCACACCTCTAAATGCTATCATACACACGGACGCTAAAGGAAACCAGAGGGAGCAGCTTCTTCAAAGCTCCAACTTTGCCCATGAGCAGACTTGTACTTACTGTAATGCTCACCTGGTCTCCTGCCAGAACAAATATTTTAATGTAAAATTTAATAAATGGGACTAAAGGTATTATGTCTAATTTAAAATTCCATATTGTGTAAACTATTGATATTAACATAATTGAGTTTGTAAACAATCCATTTGCAAGAACTAACCTTGGACATTGTATTGACCCAAAATATCTAGTGGGGCCCATCTGCAAAATGAAGCATCAACGCCTGGAATTCATTACAAGTGTTACATGTTTAATTTCTCCTGCCCTACAGCTCCATTGTCTCGTAAAATTTTTCCTTTGATGTCCCCCACTAAAAGAATTAAAGGAATATTGTAATTGAAATGTCATCAATAATTCACAAGACCCTCCTCCACAGCAATACATCTGATGAAATATTAATTGAGCTCCACAGACTGACAGTCTGCAGAGGGGCACTTGCCTGTAATTTGAACCGCGAGTCCTGATCTTGCTGTAGCTCAGACCTGCCAAGAAGGCAATTATCTGGATGGTCTTGCCCAATCCCATTTCGTCTCCCAGAATTCCTCCTGCCTGCTGGCAGTGCAATTCCCACAGCCACCTAACACCTGTCTGCTGATACCTACAACAACAAACACCAACAAGAAAAGAGAAAATGGCAAATGGTGGGTAATACAGACTGCAACAGAAAGTACTCATGAATTAATCATTTGGTAGGTTCTAGTCCAGTCAGAGAAGCGTGCTGGATGCGTGTTTTATTTGACTGTTATATTTATAAGGTCATACATTTTTGATCACTTAGGCATAAAAATCGTAATTTTTTGTTATAGAATGTTAACACATTTCTAATTAAACTGATAGATGGGGTAATTAAGAACTATTTTATTTCTTTTTCAACATTAGATATAGCTTGATAACAAGTACAAACTTACTAGCTTTGATTCACTTTCTGGAAAACAAGAATCTCAACTATCCTAAGTATATAAAGTTCCATAAGTTTTTCTACAAAAAGAAATCATAAGATTTTTTTTCACTCTAAATAGTATCAAAAAGGCAAGGCAGAGAACACCACAATTTATAGCTTATATAGTTGTAAAGTCACTTTGTAATCATATTATCTTTTTATAGGGAAAATTAAATTAAACTTTAAGGCCATAAACAAGTATGAATAATAGAACTGTTCTCAAAATTAGTGTATGACCGATGATTCTGTTGTATGATTAACAAATGTAAGAAAGAACTGTCTAGAAAGGCCAAACAGTGCAATAGGTGTTTTAGTATTTTAAAGCACAAACTGATCCAAGGATTTTAACAAAAGTTACAAGATCAGGGCTATTAAAATTTTAAATTAGGTTTCCAGCAAAAAAGAAACAGTATTTCCCTCACCCATCTCCTCACTCTGCCCCCAAAATGCAGCTGGTATTTTTCTTTCTTCACCAATCACACATTCAACTCTATAAACCTCAAAGGCTTGTTTTGTGTTCAAGTAATAAAGCAAAAAAAAAAAAAAAAAAAAATTTCAGGAATGACTATGACCTGCTATCATGGAATGGTATGAAGATTATATGCCACATTAAACAACGTAAAGCCCACTTATGCTCAAAGCCAAAGGATGGCCGCACCCAAAGAAAATACCCCAGTTAAGCGTTACCCCCAGTAAGAGAACATTGGCTTACCATTCCTGCCTTCCTGCCCTGAAACTGACTACTTGGTTCTACTCTGCCTACTAAAATCTTGTTCTGAGCCTGGCATGGTAGCTCCTGTCTATAATCTCAGTACTTGGGAGGCTACAGCAGAAGAATTCTAGAAGTTCCAGGTCTGTCTTGAAAGAAGAAAGGAAGTGAGGAAGGGGGATAAGCAGCAGACACAGAGACAGAGAGGTAAGTTCATCTCATTGTGGACCTCAGTTCTTGGTGAGCTGTTATTTAACCACCTTTCAGTAGATGTACCATAATTTTGTATTTTGTAAGTCAATTTTATTTTAAAAGTGTGACTCTAGGTGATGACATCATTGCTCACATATAAGGAAAACTTTGAGACATTTACTGCTTATTAGTTTGGCTAATTATAATAAATACATTGACTATGCACTCTGGGGAAAAAAGGATTAAAAAATCAAAACCCAATGAAGTATGAAAATAAGATTGATTAATTTGAGAAGACAAGTTCCATAAATGCATCCCTCTGAGAACAATGTCTCCCACTGAACAAACCTATATGGACATTCTGGACCAGGTAGTCTGGACAGCACCTCACAACAAACCTGTACTGTGGCGCTAGTGGCATATTTTATACATAGGAGGCAAAGGTTGGGGAAGGAGCAGAGGGGAGAGGAAGAGAAAAAAAAGGAAGGAAAGGGGAAAGGAGAGGAAGGACTGACACACAAACAAACAAGTAAGAATACAAGTGAGCAATACTGGAATCCAGAACTATATGACTCCAAAGTGTTCCCACTTTGGGAATAATCTAGAATAGCAGCCCTGAACCGGGGCTAATTTGCTCCCTTGGGCCATTAGGCAATATCTACAGACTTTTTTTTTTTTTTCAAGTGGAAAAGAACAATTAGGACCTAGTGGGCAGAAGCCAGAGATGCTATTTGTCCTACAGCGCTGTGGTCAGTCCCTACAGAAAATTATTTGGCCAAAATGTCAAGTGTGCCAACCAAGGCTGGGGCAGTCCTGACTTGGAAGACAATCTGGTTCCTGAACTGGTTGTTTGCCTATAATGCAACACAAGTGAGGTTAAGGCAGGAGGATTTCAAGTGTGAAGGCTACCCCAGGCTTCAAGATGATACCCTGTCTCAAAAGAATATAAATTAAAAATAAAGAAAACAAAATAAAATAGTCTACTCATGGCCCAGAAGGGCTGGATTCTAGCCACTGGCCTTCTCCTACCAAACAGAGAAGCCACTGAGCAGCTCCAAACGCGCCCAGGACCTTCTGGAGACCACCTTGGAAACAATCCGCCCAACACAGGGACAGCACCCTTCTTTGCTTAGGGCCCAAATTTAATTAAAATGGTAAGAATTTGGAAAAGCAACATTGATCAGTTTGGTGTCTCCCAGAAAGAAACTGGGAGTGAACTGGACACTGGATTCTATGTGATTCTGGAAAATCAGCAACAATGGGCTAGATGTTCTGACATCTCCTACCCTAAATCTCCAAGGGTTTTCACCAGGCACACAGTGGGATGTTTACGCAAGAGTGAGAAGCAATACAGAAATAACTCAAGGAGAAATACTTATGAGGCAGCCCAGGAACCACACAGCAATAGCCAGCAATTGCACAAAGCCTGGGTAAAGGGGTTAGCTCCCTTACTCACACCATAAATAGGCCTTCAGCCTTCAGGTGAAGAATAGTCACTGATGATGGCCTGGTCAGCAGGGGTGAATGGTGAGTAAGGAATAAAAAGCCTGGGCTCCGGTAAATGCTCTGAATGCTATTGCTTTATGTTCTGACAGTAAATACTGTAAAAACAACTACACAGTTAAAATGAAAACAGGGAACAGAGTCTAGTTTTCAAAATCTTTGAGAAGCATATAAAAATTTACTCTTTAGGGAGTTAAATAGTCTTTTCAATTGTTGTACAACAGCAAGGAAATTACTAAACTCTGTCATCCCCATGGGAACAAAGCATCAGAAAATAACCACATGTAATTGCGGGATCTTGGCATTCTCACACTAATACTAGATTGCACTTACTAGTTTGGTGGAAGGTAAGGTCAAAACAAATTGAAGTTTGTCATGAGGCTGTTAAATTATACAGACGAATACATTTGCTGGGCAAACTTTCAAAACTGAAATTTAGAAGTTAAATATTATCTTGTAGAAAATAGCACTTAAATGGAAAACTGTGCCTTCTAACTCCCTGGGGTGTAGCTATATCCTGTTAATTCACTTCCACTCAGTGTAGTAAACAGAATAAAAATATACCCACAACTTAAAAGTAAACCGGCATGGATAAAACTTAATCATAAAAAAGGTCGAGATGAAAGGCTAGAGAGAGAACGTGCACTTGATGCTCTTGTCGAGGGCCTGGGCATGCTCTTCAGCACTTACACAGCCACTCACAACCAGCTGTCATTCCAGCTTCAGGGCGCCTGGCACCCTCTTCTGGCCTCTATGGGCACTATATATACATGGTACACATACATACTTGTAGGCAAAACACCCACACACATAAAATAAAAATAACTTTTTAAAAGCAGAGATTCTATTTGTCATCCTCTTTCTTACAAGAGAAACATGAAATCTAATAACATTTATAAAGTACTTTAAATTATTTTGTATATAAAAAACAGAATACTTTCTAGAAAGCATAAAGACAAATTTAAAATGTTTATAAGCATGTGCTTATATTAATAAGAAAGTTAATAGCCAATATACTGGCTCTTACATACACTTAGTGTAGCAAAGTTTGGTTCTGTTACTGTGAAACTTCTTTGCTAGGAAATCTGACACTTACACAAACCTGTGCATTCAACCTGACTCCTGAGGACATTTACAGATCACTCACTGAACGTGCAGAAGAGGCCTGTCCTTGTTACATCAGCTTAAGGTATAAGTTGGGTATTTCTTTTTGCTAGTACAATACAGATACTATTTTACTTGCTCCTTAATAAACAGTTACTTCAGTGAAAATAAAAAGAGTTGCCAATAAATGCAGTCTTTACCTTTCTATAGTTAATTTCCATTAGGGAGAAACAATAAACAAGCCACTTGCCTTTCTGGGCTATGAACTGACTTCTCTGCAGAAATGAGCAGAAATGTGGATTCTGCCTTCCCATGGTTCTGCCTCTTACTCTAGTCAGGCCACCCAGCCATGTCAGTGCAGGTGGGACTTGGTTTTGCTACATGTTTAATGGGATAAATATCTACTTTTTACTCCCCCGCCCCAAATGCCTCCAATGCAAAGAGCAATTAAAAGTATAACATGAAACTATAATAGGAAGGGGGCAGAATGACAGAGTGCTTGCCTACCATGAGCAAAGCCCCAATCCTATTCCTCCAGCATGATAATCAAATACGTAAGTATCCGTAGGTCTTGATCTCGCCTGACATTTCTCAGCAGTATGGTGCTTGCCAAGTACATACACACCCACCCCACACGATAAATAAACTCTTTGAGAGTAAACACAAAGGGCATGCTATTTTTAAGTAGCTCACTTCCATAAGTTTAGGACACAGCTGACAGCTGACTCCATAAAGGAAATTAAACATCATCATCTCACAGAAGGAAGTTTGCATCCTGCTCTATGAACTGATGATATGGAAAGGAAAGACGGTATCTAATGGTTTAACTTCCTCTACACATCTGAAGAAGCCTTCCTGAAGCATCATATTAAGTATATCCAAGAGTGAGGAGACTGAAAAATGCCCCTTGGAGTTTACATTCATCATCGGAGTCCTGCCAAGCCACACAGACCAAGCATGCATCTATCAGGCAGCTTCCGGTCATCACAGCACTCGGCCGTTTACACACAGAACTTAAGTCGGCTTCCAAGAGCAACTTAATCCTTGCGGTGTTGCCTGTGTCGTATCTTTTGCCATTATGTAGAAAGACATCCCCAGAAAATACTGAGAACACAATCAACAGTTTCTGTTTCTACACAGAAGTAAAAAAAAAAAAAAAAAAAAAAAACACAAAACTCCCCAAGGTTTGATTTTAATACATATAACTCCTCATATTGATGTTAATAAACAAATATTCTGAAATAAATTAATCTACTTTTTAAAATGAGAAGTTTGGTGCCTTAAGAACAAAAGCAAAATTTGATGCCGAGACTTTTAAATGTGTTGCTTTTAGTCTGCTGAGACAAGCCCACGTAGATTCATCAGTGTACAAACACACCCAATGCGCACCTTAGTCAATTTATTATCATCTAATTTTAATGAACAGCATGTGGCTAAAATTTCATTTGACAGTGTCTGGATTTGCAATAAATTGCTGCAAGTACCTTAAGGGCCCACAGGTAACTACTATGTGATTTCTGAATGTTAATTTGTACACAATGGCCTGATGACAAACCGAAAGGACAGAACAAATGGCACATACTTAAAGAGCTTTCTGAACAGAAAACCCGGCACTTTGAAACCTTCATCAAACTCGGCATCACTTTCCTCAGAATCATCTTCAAGCCTCAGGCGTTTCTCTTTGTCCTGCAGCCTCAGTTTATTCCACCTCCTACGGTGAAAGAGAAATCACATTTCCATTATTCTGATTATAAGATAGATTGAAAGAGACAGCTCTAAAGTATGCACTAGAAAGAAATAGGCAAATCAGAATGGCCTTTCAGGCTTCTGCTGCATTCACTACCCAACACTAACCATCTACAAAACCCAACTCTTTCTCCTGCCCCCTCAAGTCAATTCTTACTTGAATTATTACAGCTACTCTAGAAAGATTCCTGTATCTCTCGTTTCATTATCAAAACCACTTACTCCTTTTCTGCATATCCTAAAGGGAAACTTTTCTATCAGCTCCTAAGATACATGACCTTCATCCCAGAACAGACTCAGGAAATTTTCAATATAACCAAGCATTTCCAAAATGGTAATTCAATTCAGATCATATTTTATTTAGAACTGGTATTTCTATGCTGGAAATAATAGCCACAGGATAAAACATACTATTTTAAAAAGAAAACAAATTTTTATCCAAAATCGCTGTATCAGATATTTTTTTCTAATTACTCAAGTGAAGAGGATCAGCAGTGCCATTGTGCTGATAATCATGCTACTGAGAAAGAATGTATTACAGATAAACTTAAATTTAAAGGAAAGATGAACATTTCTATTTCAGAAGCATGATGCCATGTTTGTTTTACAGTGACAAGCTACGAAGGTCCTGAAACACACCACAGCTGTAGAGAGGAGGCAGTCATTTTAACTGATTTTACATTCCCACAACTATGGTGAACTCTGATGTTGTGAGCAAAAAGAAAAGCAATTACCAAAGTAAATAACCTTGGATTCCATTATTTTAAAAAAAAGTATGACTTTGTTAGTATGTATACAACTGACATTCTAAATGTTACAAAATGGTAGAAATAGAAGACAGAGTAACTACTGAGAGATGCCTTGAATTAAAAGCTCACAGGAAGACAACAGCAGCAAACAAAGGCTTTTAACTTCCATTGTCTATGTGAGAGTAGCAGAGAGTGGATAAGGGAAGGCAGAGAAAACATGACGGGAGAGCATGAGCACAGCGCTCGCTGGAGAATCCATCACAAAAGCTGCAGAGGTCACAGGCTGGAGTCATGGGCAGCCAACCATGGGCAGCCAACCCTCCCAGGACGCTGCCAACAGACGGTAAAGCACATCCTTCAAAATTTCAAGTCTTCCAAGCAACTAATCCTTACTCAGTAAGAAAGCACTAGACGGTGAGGTGGAACTGTTCTGCAGCATGGTGGGATCTTAGCAGGAAGAGCAACACAACCCAGAGAAGCGGTGCAAACAGAAGCGGCGCGACTAAGCCCGACCTAGTGGAACAGCCGCCACACACCATGAGGTCTACTGCAGCGCTTCTTTACACAAAATGCCTTCAAAGACCACCTCTTCTTCCCCTTATTACTTGTCTTCCCTGAAACTACCTCCACCCCACGGACCAAGTGAGCTCTCTCGGGGGCGACAACAGCCTCCTGTTCTTCCAATTTTCGTGTCATTTACAAACTTAGCTTAATGTAATGGTGTGCCTCAGTGGTTCCCAACAGGGACAACTCTGCCCCTCATCCATACCCAGAGCAATCTGACATGCCCAGTCATTACAGGTCTCCTGCTGGCCTCCTATAAGGAGAATCTGAAGCTAATAGACATGCTACCACGCATGTTCTCCTCAGGAGCGCAGTGACTATTCTTGCCTTTCACAAAGGTGACGGGGGTTCCATTCTTGGATGAGGACACTACAGATAAGTTTAAGTAAGCTATGGCAGCAGACTCAGGACAGCTCAATCCTCCAGTAAAAATGTTGCCTAGCCTCACATATCAGTAATGCCAAGAAAGTGGTGGAACTGCAGGAACTGTCCAAAGAACATGCTGGAAAGGAATAGGTATTCTCCTGATGCACATATCTAAATGTGCTGCAGTTTCAGGTAATGAAATAATAATCCTTGGTACCCAAACTCTGAGCACCAGAACTAGGCATCAAAATATCTACAAAGTAAGATGCCTCTACTTAGCAAACTGTGACACTCTGAGAATCACAAATGCTATCACCGGCACTTAAAGAGACTTTAGTTGGTATTTTCTTCAATAATTTTGCACAGTGGGAAATGGGTATCCTAGAAGGTACTGCCTTGAGCAGTTTGGCACAACAGATGAACAAGGGCTTTTCCACTTTACACAGTACGTTTCACTCACAGACGACAGCTTTTTCCTTACACTCTACCACTCAGTGTTTGCGGCTGTTAAACTTCCCACCACATCATCCCACACTGACAAGATTGCATCTTCTCCTCTTGTCTTCCTCTCTCTGTCCTAAAATATATGGGCATCATGTTGCCACAGAACCCAGCACCTAGGAAACCACATAAGCCACTGCAGAAATGATTACATCCTAGAGCTTTCCGCTGCATAAAGAAAGATGAAAGCGTTTAATGTTCATTCAGTTTGGCCAAAGAACGAGCAAAGGTGGTGGGGCTAAATCGCTATGGTCAACAAGCACCTGAACCACTGTGAAGACAAATCACCCCAGAAGAATCTAAAGGACACAAAATATGACCTCATGCACATATGGCTGGGGCTATCGACAGCAATACTTCCTTGTGTGGATTGGGGCTCACCATCTAAGAAGTGCCCCAGAAAGACATGGCATGCCCAGGAAAGCTAGGAGAGCTGAAACCACCCAAATACAGGAAGAGAGATAGAGCACGGTGACAGGGTGCTTGTCTGACATGGGGGTGGGGTTGCGGCTTCCACATCAGTTCTTCATGAAAAAGAAAAAGCAGCAAAGCAGAGACAGTGGTGTCTCCACCCGAGCTGCTGCCAAGAGTCTTTCTCTGTTGCTGGTGGCGTATCCATGGAGGTGTAGAAACATGTGTACTGTGGTATGTATGTGAAGGTCAGACAACAACCTCCACTAGGAGGGGGTTCCCTCCTTCCATCTTTTGGTGGGTTCCAGCATCAAACACAGAAGTCAGGCTGCCACAAGGATTTTTCCCTCCTGAGCCATCCCACCAGCCTAAGCATCTTCTTAAGGGTGCCCTTTTTAGCACGGCCTCTGGAATCCAGCTTGTCCTGCAGCCTAGCAGGCTGAGCAATCTGTCCGGCAGGCACATGTGAAGGGGCTAACTGTGCTATGACTATCCTGCACACGAAGGGACAGAAGCCCAGGCCCCCATACAGCCTGCAGAGAGACTGGCTAAAAGCAAACCCTGCTGCATTTATCAGCTGTGTTAGTCACCTTTCTATCACTATGTTAAAAATATCTGAGAAAGTCAACCTAAAAGAGGGAGGCTTATTTTGACTCATGACTTCAGAGTTTAACATGGTCACCCGTTTCTGGAAAAGGCAAAGTGGCATGGAGCATGAGGCGGGGCGAAACTGCTCATCTCAGGATGGAGGGATCCAGGAAGCAGAGAAGAGACAGGAAGGAACCAGAGCAAGGCAGGGCTTATACTCTTTACTCTCTTCAACTCGGTCCCACCTCCTAGGTTTCTGTCAATAACCTCTCAGTAACCCACCAAAACATGAGCAGCCGTGGATTTGGATTAATGCATGAGTGAGGTCATAGCCATTTCCCCCAAGCCCCACCTCTGAACACTGCTTTAGGGCATCAAGCTTCTAAATACATGATGAAGAAGAAGGAGAAGGAGAAGGAAGAGAAGAAAAAGGAGACGGAGAAGGAGGAGAATGTTCTCTCTGGAGAGCATTCCAAATCCAAACATGGATCTGCACCTTTACCCTCAGCAGGAAAATTGACCTTGTAACCAAATGTCCACAAAGAGCCTTGGTAAGAACAGTGATGCCTGCTTCATTGGGCTATATGAAGGACTGACTGAGGTGTCACAGGCAAAGAAGTGCACACAAGAGCGAGAATTTAAGTGCTTCTCTCAGACAGAACTGTATATAATCGCTTACCTTGGCTTGTTGAAATTGCCACCCTCACCCTGTAAGAGGAACTACCACTAGTTTAATGAAAGGACACGTAGGCAATATGCATTCCCACACAGTCTATGTTCAGTAATGTGATGGCCCTCAAAGGTTTCACAGAGCTTCTAGAAGGAATGTATGCCAGCAAAAACTACAACAGTTGATCAATGGCTGCACGGCGAATTATTATCAATTATGTGACCAAACCAGGACACCTGCCCTTCAGAGGATACCTGCTGGATAGCTAAATTAATTTTTTTTTTTTTTTTTTTTTTTTTGCCATGGACTAGGAATGTAGCTCAGTGGCAGAGCACATTCTTAGAATGTACAAGGCTCTGGATTCAACCTCCAGCACCAAAGACAGAAAACAAAAATTTGACCATAAATGTGTATAGTGTCTGAATTACAGCTGGCTTTTATGACAGTAACAAAAGGCACATGCAGAATTACTAAAAATTGGCTGGGGGCAGTAAATAATCTACCATTTACGTTTTTCAGAAAAGCATAACTTTTTCATGTTCTCCATCCTCTCATTTAAAAAAATCCACACATGTAATAGTCACAGCTGCAGCCACATAAAGTGAAAGTGCCCGGTGTTCCCTGGCAGAGTTTCTAACGCCTCACACAACTGCCGTGCTCAGCCCACTGCCGACTCCGCTGGCAGCGCTTAGAGGGGAAGCCAGTGATGAGCAGGCACGGAAAACTCTCCTCGGCTTCCCTGCAAGCCTGGCCGAGGCTCTGCGGCCGGGGGCTGACGTTGCAATAATGTCTGTCAGAAGCCGCCCAGACCCAGGATAATCAGCTGAACGACACCAAGGCCCACGGAGGCTACTGGGGTGCTTTGTCAATGGAACCCAAAAAACATACCTGAAAAGCTACGGGCCACCATTTACTGTTAGTCTGTTTTATAATTTCTAACATTCTAAAGAGAAGCAGATTACATAAATAGAAAAACACAGCTGGGGGCATCGACTGTGCCTTGTATGTGGCCTTGATTCTCTTCAACTGCATATCCATTCCCCAGCCTCTACCCTCCAACTTGCACATCTTCACGCCTGGCAGACCCTTCAGATACCATGCTCCTTTCTATAACAC